GTGGACGGTTTTATCCGGAACAAATACTCTTTGTGAGGCCTGGGGGCTCCCTGTGAACCAGTGTGTACCAGTGATCCTGGCACTTGGAAGGTGGAGACAGACAGATCGGAAATTCCAAGTCATCCTCAGGTACATAGCAAGTTCAAGGTCAGCCTGGGCTACTTGAGATCCTGTCTCAAACAAAACATTAACCTTAAAAAAGAATTATTTTGGAGGTAGAGAGATAGCTCAGTTTGCAAACTAGCTGCTTTGCAAACATGAGGACCTGAGTTTGGTCCCTAGAACACACATAACAAAGTAGATGCAGCGTGCACTGGGGAGGAGGAGGCAGGATGCTTGATGCTTGATGCTCACTGCCCAACTAGCTTAGCCAAACTGGCAGTGTTCTAGTAAACAACAACAAAAACCAAATAAGTAACTAACAAAAAACAAACAAAAAAACCCAAAGTGGAGTAGCTAGGAGTAGTGTTGTATGCTTTTAATGCTAGCACTTGGGAAGCAGAGGCAGTAAGTCTCTGCAAGTTTGAGGCCAGCCTGGTCTACATAGTGAGTTCTAGGACAGCCAGGGCTACATAGTGAAACCCTGTGTTGAAAACAAAAAGTAGACAACGCCGGAGGCTGACTTCTGGTTTCCACATATACATACAAATAATGGCATAAACACAAACATAGTATGTACAAACATGCACTAAACACACACACACACACACACACACACACACACACACACCCTGGCCTATAATTGCAATCCTCCAGCCTCAGCCTCCCAAGATCTGGGATTACAGGTCTGTACTGCCACACCCAGCAAATGTACAACTCAGCATCATCACTGGTCCATTGCTAAAATATTTTCATCCCTCCAGAGAGAAACTTTCTACTCGGTGGTAGTCCCTGACTGTCCTTCCTCCTGGTCCCTGGCAGCTGGCAATATATTTTCAATTTCTATACTTCAGCCCAGGACTACTAATAACAGAACTGTGTGACTTGGGGCTTGTGTCTGGATTATTTCAATATAAAGTTTGCAAGTTTCATCCATGGTGTAGCATGTGTCTGTATTTCATTCCCTTTTGTGTCTGAGCACTATTCTAATAAGATGTCACTTTTTTTTTCAGACATAGTCTCATTACGTAGGCCTGGCTGTCCTGGAACTCACACTGTAGACCAGAGTAGCCTTGAACTCACGGAGATCTGCCTACCTCTGCCTCCCGAGTGCTGGGATTAAAGGTGTGCCACCATGCTTAGCTGGCTATACTACATTTTATCTATTAATTTCTTTTTATTATTTGATATAATTATATCACAGCCCCCTTTTCTTTCTTCCCTTCAAACCTTCCCATATCCTTTTTCTTGATCTCATTCAAATTCATGACCTCTTTTCTTTGTTACACGTACCTATACATACACACACACAAAAATATATATACACATATATATGCATGTAACAATGAGAAATATATATGTATACATAATACCCTGTGCGCCATGTATCTGTATATTATACAATACATACATATTAGGAATGTGTATTATATTATGTATACATATGTAATAAATACTATATGATTCCCAAATGTAACCTAATCAGTCTGTATAACGTGACTCATATGCATGTTTTCAGGGCTAACCATTTGTTCCTGGACAGCCAATCAGTGTGCTACTTCACAGGGAGACTCTCTCCCACCCCAGCATTACTTAGTTTCCTATAGTTCTTTGTGTAGTGTTGAGGCCTGGTGGTCTCCCCTTGTTCACTTCAACATGTCTATTATTGTTGGACTTTTTCAGTCCATGCTTAGGCACTCATGTTGATAAGACATTACCAAGAGACACAAACTGCCCTGATCCTCCAGGACTTAGTCTTTCTGCCCCTCTCCTGTAGTGTTTCCCGAGTGAGTTGTGGGTGTAGATGCTTTGTAGATGTACCCATTAGGACTGCGTTTGTTTATGTTTTTTAAGATCTGCATTTTGATTGGCCATGGCTTTCTGTAATGGTCCTGCATCCATGCAAAGAGAGGTGGACTGTGAACTACACTTATGCCTGAGGATCTGGAGCTAGAGGCCTCTGGTGTGAGAGCAGGTGATGTTAGTCTTCCTGGGACCAGGCTACCTCACTCAGTGTGACCTTCTACAGTTCCACACATTCACTGGGTTAGACCCTGGCTGGGTGGAGGGGCTGGATGCAGAGCAGAGGAGCTGTGTGGCGGGTAGGCTGGGTTCCGGCAGAAGCCTTCTTCATTTCTTGGGAGACATTTAACTCATCTTCTCCCTGACTTTTACAAGTGCTGCTATGAGCATTCATACATGTTTCTGTAGAGACAATCTTTTTTTTTTTAATCTCTGAAGTGCAGGGGGTGGCATCTGTAATCCCATGCTCAAGAGGTTGCAGGAAGATTACTGCAAATCCCAGACCAGTCTGGGCTACAGTGTGAGATCCAGTTTCAAAACAACAAAGTATTTCATAAATACATACTTAGGAGTGAATTTGTTAGGTCACATGATAATTCTATGCTTACCACTACCATTGAACCACACTTCCAGTTGTGGAACTCACTCTGCAAAGCAGGTTGGACTTGAACTCACAGATCTGCCTGCCTCTGCCTCCTGAGTGCTGTGATTAAAGGTGTCTGCTACTACTGCCTGGCTCAGTCATCCATTTTTCAAAATTATTTATCTCATGAGTATAGCATTGTGTTTGCATGTATGTCTATACACCAAGTACCTTGTCTGGTGCCCAAGGAGGCCAGAAGAGGGCATCAGATCCCCTGGGACTAGAGTTACACACACTTTATTTTCTATCTTTTTAAATTAAATTTTATTATGTGTATGAATGTTTTGCCTTCATATTTATGCACCATGTGCATGCCTGGTGCTCACTGAGGTTGGAAGAGGAAGTCAGGTATGGTGGAACTGGAGTTAGAGCTGGTTATAAGGCTTGGGAATCACTTTGCTCTTGGCTGTGTCAACTCTCCAACCTAAGTGTCTTTTTCATAAGCCCTGCAAGCGTAGATGAAATGGTATCTCATTGTGACACTGAGAGTAAGTTTTTGTCTAATAACTAATCACATTGTGTACCTTTTCAGATCCTTGCTAATCATGTACATAGTTTCAAAAAACGTGTATTTCCCATCATTTTGTTTTGAGATGAGACCTCATGTAACCCTGGCTGGACTCGAGCTTGTTACATAGCCAAAGATCGTCAAGTCCTGACCCTCCTGCCTCCACCTTCCAAGTGCTCAGACTACAGATATACACCTGGGTAAAGAAAAACTTATTCATTTTTTTATTTTGCCTAGTTCTACATTGTGTTGTCACTTTAAGTAACAGTACTTGAGACAGTCCAGGTTCTGGACTTTTATGAGATATGTGACTTATGACTCCTCTATTTGTGGAGTCTTTATACTGACCTGCCTGTTTAAAAGACAAAACTTTAAATTGTAATAAAATACAAGTACTTTTTTCCTTTTGTTTTCTGTGTTTCTCTAGTAAATTAAAAAAAAATCAATGCCTAAGTCAAGGTTCAAAGTTCTGTACATAGGCCTTTACTGAGAGGTTTAAATTTGAGCTCATATATTTTTACCTTCTATAGTTGTCAGACAAATTTAATTTTATGCATGGCGATGGCAGGAGTTCAGCTTCACTCTTTTGCATGTGGTTCTGGTGACATTTGCAGAAGGCCACTCTTTCCTCATTGGACTGGGCTGGCACTCTCACTGAGAAACATTCTTACTAAAGCCCCAAGGTTGCTCAATACCAACCACACTCAGCCAAGCACATAATGAAAAAAAAACAACTGAACTTGATTAAGATCTGAGATGTAAGGCAGTGGAGTCTGTGCTCTATCTGCCCTAGCACGTGAGAAGCTGAGGCAGTTGGATGATAAATTTGAGGCCAACCTCAGCTACACACACACACACACACACACACACACACACACACACACACACACCCTCAATAAAATTTGTTCTTATGACACTGGGGATCAAACTCAGGGTTTTGAACATGCAAAGGAAACTCTCTTCCGTGGGGTTCATCTCCCAAAGCTGGTTTTAGAAAGATCAACAAAGGCTGGGCAGTGGTGACCCACACCTTTAGGTCCAGCACTCAGGAGGCATAGGCAGGAGAATCTCTGTGAGTTCGAGGCCAGTCTGGTCTACAGAACAAAAGGAAGATCAACTAAGGGCAAGAACATAAATGCAAAACTTTCTTTTCCTAATCATTTTTCAGAATCAGCTTCTCTGAGTGGGCCTCATGATACTGATTTGTGAGAATTTGTACATCTCCCTTAACTGCTCTTATAGAAAACAGGAGCAGACTACCAGTTGTGGTAGCACAAGCTTTTAATCCCAGCACTTGGGAGGCAGAGGCAGAGACAGGAGTATCTCTGTGAATTCGAGGCCAGCCTGGTCTACAGAGAAAGTTCCAGAACAGCCAGGGCTACGCAGAGAAACTGTGTCTCAAACAAAAGGAAACAAGAAAACAGGAGCAGACTACTAACATTCAGACTCCCGAAGGCTGGGACGACTCATCACTGTGGGGCAGTGTTGACCAGGGCTGGAAATGCACTTTCATTCCCAAGGAAAAGCATTTGTAAGTTACCTCTAAAAAAGAACCATGGGCCCTTTCTTTCCTCCCAACTGCATATGCCTGCACTCAGCACAGCTCTAGCCTGTCTCTAGCCCCCATAGTCCCAGCAACAGCAACACGGCAAGCAGGACCTCAGTAAACATCCACCACATGAGTAAGACCACCCCACTGCCACCGCCTTTTCCTGGGATGCTCCTCCTTCTAGTAGAGGCAGAGGCAGATTTCCTTATCAAGTTTCTTTTTGAAACAGGGTCTAATGAGACCTTTGCTGACTTGCTATTTAGACTGGGCTGATCAGTCTCTGCCTCTGTTGGGATTAAGGGTATGGACCATCACACTTGGCTAACGTTTGTTTGTTTGTTTGAAAACTCTAGGTCCTATATCTTAAGAATCTCACAGCCATGAAATAAACCAAGATATTCTGTTACGAAGACTCTTTATAGGGCTGAGGAGATGGCTCAGCGGTTGATCCAGTTCCTGCAGAGGACCAAAGTTCACTTCCTCCACTAAGGTCAGGCGACTCACAACACTCCAGCTCTGGCCTCTGTATGCACTTGCACAAAGTCCCGCCCCCAACCACGTACCACACCCCCTCACCCCACCCCTACACCACAAGGGGCTGGAGAAGGTGGTTGCCAGTGTGGACTGCTCTTTCTGAGGACCCAGGTTTGGGTTTCAGCACCCACATCAGGTAGTTCACAACTTCTAGAGCTCCATCCAGGTCCAGGGGATCCAACATCCACCTGCATATATGCTCATGACACATTCCATACTCACACAAGTACCTATAACGTAAAAGAAATCCTTTAAAAATGAATAAATCTTTAAAAAAACTCAAATAGGTATCAAAATAAGAACCAACTGGGATATAACGGGCAGTAAAGCTTTTGTGCTGCACACAAGAAACTCAGGACCTAAAACCCAGCAGACACAGACAACAGACAAGAGGGATTAAGGAAACATCACAGTGCTCATATTCATTCTTGTGTTTGAGAATTTTTCTTTGACACTTTATCAGAAAGAGTGCGTGCATTGGCCATGGCGCATGTGGAGGGCGAAAGACAACCGTGGGAGTCCATTCTCTTCTGCCATGTGGGTTCCAGGGACTGAACTCGGGTTGTCAAATTCGGCAGCAAGTGTCCCTGGTCACTGACTACAGAGTGAAACATGGTCTCACTCTGCACTCCAGGTGGGACTAGAACCAAGTGTGTAGCCCAGGCTGGTTTTAAACCTGCGCTGATCCTCCTAGCTCTGCTTATAGAGTGTGGGATTCTAGGGGATGTGCCACCACACCGGGCTGTCATACTTTTAGAACAATTCGTAGATTAAGACTTGGTGATCTCGGCGAGTCTGTGGTAACTGTAAACATAATCCCTGAGAGGTGACTGGATCCTGAGCGACCTATATTATTAGTAGCCAACCGCAGTATACGGGAGGCTGTAGAGAGTCAAAGTGAAGCCTAACACGTTGGCAGCTAGTTCTGGAAAGCCACACCTTGTCCCCACGCCCTCCCACGTCTGGTTCGGAGCTGCAATGCCCTCAGGAGGTCTCCATCAAGCCTTCTCAGCTGCGATGTCTCACCAAGGCAAATCAATGGAGCCAAAAGACTGGGATGGAAACGTCCAGCCAGACACACCTTTATCCCTTTAGTTTCCTCTCAGGGTTCTGTCAGTGACCAGAAGCTAACACATATGGAATAAAAAGAAACATGAAGAAGAAAATGAACCTGGTTCTGATTCCCTGCTCTTGTACTTCAGTGAACTCGTTCCAACAGATACATTTGAGAAACCCTTGAATGATGTTCTACAAATTAATACTCCATGGGTTCCCCCCACCTGCTTTCATTCATCTCTTAATAATTCATTCAGATTATACGCTTTTGAATCTTCCCAATTCTTCTCATCAATAAAGAACTTCAACTATCATTCATGGAATCCTATTTTCTAAGATTTCTTTGTGGATACTGGCAAAAGAAAAAAAATTTCCTTAAATGATTTATCAACAAGTTTTAATTTACTTAGCTAATATGCACTGATTTAATGTCAATACTTTCTATCTTACTATAATTCATATCTCATTCAACTTACTTATAAAAATACATTTGACAAATTCGTAACATCAGATGCTATATTTGGTATTTGAAATATGAAGATAAACTAATATGAAACCTACCTAATGAGACAGTTGACCATAAGTGGAAAACATATAAGAAAGTACATTTTCAAATGGAAATCATGTGGCCAATCAGATCAGCACGTAACTATGAGAAGAGTGTAGCCAGACACAGCAGGGTAGAGAAGGTGCTGGAATGAGCCTCTTGTACGCACCAACGTTAAAGTCCATTTGTGGTAGAAAATGTAGCATTTTAACCACAGACACTACATTGGACTATTCAGATGTAAATTTGAAGTTTAAAACATTCTAGCTTGCTAAAGGATACGTCTTCCTAATTCAGTATTTTGGCAAAAGTGTGGTCTATGGAATAATGTGTGTACCCCATGGGCTCAGAACACATCCTTAGTATGATGGACAATATGGATTTTTAAAGTGAATCAGGCAAACACAACTTGTTTTCCAAATGAAAAGAACAAGTGAATGTGATTAGAACCTAAAATAAATTACCTGCTATATTTATACTGCCCAAGGCCAAGATGCTCTCCTTGCTAAGTTCACTGGACATTACCTGGTGTAAGGAAGGGCATGTATTAACACTTCTTGGATGCATTTATTACATTAAATATAAAAGACCTATAAAAACATGGCTGAAGGGAATGGATGCATGCGACATGTAACAATGGTGTCTTCCTGCTGGCTTCTCTTTTTCCAGTTCTCCTTAAGCCTGTGGTAAGACATTGTTAATGGCTGGAATGCTACAGGAACACCTCCCTGGTCCTGGCTACTTCCTCCTCTCAGATGTAACAAGAGCAGTTACAGGGCAGGGACATGGCCTGGCGTATGTGGGTGACTACTATAGACATCCCAGATATTTACATACCTGATGTTCACACCCGCCCCTTACCACCCACCCCCACCCTATAGGTTCACAAAGCAGCCTGGCGCAGCTTCCTCCATTCCAGCCAGAGCAAGTGGCTCCCTCAGGGACTGCTCTTCTCCTAGGCACTCAGGTCCTCTGGGAATGCGGCTCTTACCTAAGTTCCCCCAGGGGAGTGGCTCATTATCCCGCATCCGAACTCAGGCGTCCTTTGCAACAGGGAGGAGCCCATCTGCCTCCCACTCCTCCTAGGCCTGAGGGGGTCACTTTCGAGTCGACAGGGCTTCCCTGCACATCCCTTTTGCTCTGCAAACTCCAGTCCCTGGGGAGGGGGGGAGAGGGGTGTGTCTCAGTTCTGGTGTCGTCCTCAGAGGACTCGGGTGGCTCGGGTGGGGGGAGGAGACGCGCACCTCAGGCCGCGCGCCGCCTATTTCCGGGCGTCGCCGCTGGGCCTGCCCGAGCTGCTGGGCGGGGACTGAGGCCGGGGCCCAGCTGCGACGAGGCGACCCCGCGGCGCTCACATGCTCACGTCGTCGAGCGGGCGGCAGAGCCATGGCCGGCTGCTGCTCCGTGCTCGGGACCTTCCTGTTCGAGTACGACACGCCGCGCATCGTGCTCATCCGCAGCCGTAAAGTGGGGCTCATGAACCGCGTGGTGCAGCTGCTCATCCTGGCTTACGTCATCGGGTGAGCGGGCCTGGGGAGGGGCCGCGGCTGGGGGCACCCAGACGGCCGGGGCTTGGCAGCGCCCCTTGCTCACCCCCTGCCCGGGCACCCGCTGGGCCGGCCGGCGACCTCCACCCCAAGCCCTTCCCAGGGGCGGCGACACGCCCTCGCCGGCCTCCAGCCCCCGGGAACCGGCTTGTACAGGACACCGGGGACACTAGGGTGTCCTATGAGCTAAGCCTTGGCTAGACTGGCACCTCGCTTTTCTTGTGTTTTTACCTTCCCGCTTGCTCCGTGATGCCCTTTGACTTGGTGGAGGCACTGGGCAGGGAGGGCTTTATTCTAAACGTCACGATTCTTCTCTCTTCGTTTCCACTTCAAAATCTGCTGACAAAAAAACAAGGCTTGTGATTTTCATTCGGTACTTTCTGGGTCTGTGGTTTCCCGTCCTTTGAGAACCTCCAGATAACACAATACCCCGGAGATGTCGAGCTTCCCAAAAATGTCGTAAGGTCACTTCCCTTGATTTGTTGGGTTGTTTGGAACGTGGGTACCTGCCTTATCCTGACACTAACCTCTGCTCCCCACGTGCTGTTTATATATACGCTGTCATCGCTAGGTGTTATTAAATATTTAATTTTAATCGAATGCACCTGTAAGAATTTAATGCCCCCTCAGGAGAGAAAGTGGGAGTTACCTTGCCTCTTGGGCCACTTTCCAGTGTCAGCAGCTGCTGGTTTGACAGGTGGATCTGCTTTCTCTTCCTAAGGGGCCTTAAGCAACGATGATCACGAATCCATACCTTGGAACCATTTAAGAATCCTTAGGAAAATACTGATTGCCAGTTGACAAGTTGACTCTTGATGCAACTGCATAGAGCTGTATTGCAGGGCTAGCCAAACTTTCTGTGCCTGTCTGCACTCACCTGAGAAAGGGTTATAACATAGGAACACAGGTGGCTGGAGAGCTGGCCTAGGAGTTAAGGATGCCTAAGGCACAACCTTTAATCCTAGCCCTGGGGAGGGAGAGGCAGGCAGGTCTCTGAGGGTTCAAGGCCAGCCTGGTATACAGAGTGAGTTTCAGGACAGCCAGAGCTACATAGTGAGACCCTGTCTCAAAAATAAATCAATAATAAAGTAAGGTCTCCTGCTTCAGTGTGAAGTTTGGAATCTGTTCCTACTGCCTAAGGGAATTCACAAGATTGCAGGTTTCCATTCCAACATATGTCAGCACAGAAGCAGCAGGCACTAGAGGGAACTTGCCTGGTGTGGCAGTAACGGATATGTCTGCCAAACCAGTATTCAGGAGGCTGACACAGGAGGACGTGGAGTTTAAAGCAGTCTGGGCTACACGAGACCCTGCCTCCGAAAGTCTTTATATGCATAAAATGTGTCTTTAGCATGCACGAGGCCTTGGATTCTGAACACCTGGCCCACATCTAGGTTTGAACGTGTTAAGGCTCAGAAGTGAGTAGTTCCAGTGTTCACAACAGACTCCTCAGCACTAGAACATGCTGCCAGCTGACTAAGTAGCTTGGATTAGAACTACCTGGAATCTGGAGCTCCGATGGAGGAGCTCTTGGCTTTTGCTGTTCACTGTTAAGGTTCTTTACTGTGAAGGGCCTGTGGCTGTTGTCATCTTAAGAGGGCCACATGAAGCCACTGACAGCTCAAGCTATCTCCACTCTGAATTAGAATGCACTCAAAGTGAAAAATACATCCTAGATTTTGAAGATAGTTTGGTATTGTGCACACAATTTGTTGTGATATTTTACTTAGGTACCAGAGATTAGCCAAAGGCCTTACGCATGCTAGGCAAACTTGATGCTATTGGGCTGTAACCTTTGTTTAAATGTTGATCTTATTTACTAGTGCACGTGTGTGTCTGTATGAGTGAGGGTACACACATGCCATAGCACATGAGGAGGTCAGAGGACAACTTTGGTGGGTTGGACAACCCACGGTGGGTTCTGGGGATGACACTCAGGTTCTGAGGCTTGCACAGCAATCACCTTTAGCTGCAGAGACCATCTCACCAGCCCCTATTTGGTGAGGAGGTTGGGGGGCTCAGGTTAGACGGGGTCTCGTGTAACCCAGGCTGTCCTATTTACTCTGTGACCAAGGATGATGACTTTGTACTCTCAAACCTGTCTGCCTCCTAAGTGCTGGGATGACAGGCGTACGCTACCGTGTCCAGTTCCCAGTCTGACACTTTAGACACTGACAGTGTTAAAATATCCTATCTATATCAGACCACATAAAAATATGTCATTAATTTTTCCTGTGCCCCCCCTTTTTTTTCTTGAGATAGGATTTCTAAACTACCTGGCTTGTAACTTAATGTGTAACCCAGGCTGGTCTTGAACTCATAGAGCTCTGACTCCCACATACTGATATTAAAAGCATGCAGTGCCTCCCCTGGTTTACCCTGTATTTCTAATCATGGACTCTTACCACTGAACTACACTCGCCACCCCTACTTTATTCTGTTTCTAATGGGCAGCATATATAGTAATATCTGCCCTGATCATTTCTATTAAAAAAACAAAACAAAACAATGCTTTGCTTTCACCCATATTCCTACGATTGAAATCGACTCAGGATATACATTCAGGACTTGTTGTAAACTTTAAACGTTTGTTGTTTTGAGACAGGCTAACTATGTAGCCCGTGGTAACCTTGCACTAGCTACATAGTCCAGGCTGGCTGAGGAATCTGCACGTGATCTTCATGCCTTAGCCTCCTGAGTGCTGGGATTATAAGGACAATTCATCACACCCTGGCTTTTAGCTTCTTTGTTAGCTTCCTGATTTCATTAATCTTGGTGAAAGTGTAATCTCTTAATGCATAAAGCAAATCCTTCCTAAGAAAGACACCGCCCTCAGAATTCCCAGTGATCTTATTCCTGGAATGAAGAAATAACTAATCACATGATGATGGCACCATTTCTCTCTTGATTTGGCAACTCAATGCTCTGTCATAAAACTCAGCCTGTCTGCCCTAAACTCTGTGTCAAAGTGGATTACATGGAAGCATTAGTGCTGATGGGTTCCTAGAAGCCCTGCGGAAGAGGACTTGATGGGAGAGAAACCCATATTTAGGCTGGACAGAGGGTTTGAAGATGTCTCATGTCAAACAAACCCATGGCACAGTAGCGGAAAACACCAGTTTCTGGAGTCTTGTCAAGGAGGAGTGTCCTACGGAGGCAGATCTTAGCATTTCTTGGTTGTGAGACAACATCAGACTGGTGTCCTGTGGAAATTTAACAGTGGCTCTTGGGGGGCAGCATTCTGACTGCCGTGTGGTGCTTAGGGCATTGCTGTGGCCTTAGGAGTTTATCTCGCTGCAACCCTGTGGCGATCTGCTGTGGTCTCAGTGTAAAGGTAGGAAAAGTGACTGAGGGTAAACTGAGACACAGTGACTCCAGTTCCTGTTTGTACCTAGCACACAGATGCCTCTAGATGTAGCCCAGCAGTTAATGTCCTTACTTCAAAGGGAGAGGAGCAATGCGATGACCAGAATTCCTAGGAAAAAGTCACAGTGAAAAGTTTCCCCGAGGGGTTGGGGGGTCAGCTGAGATATCGAAGTGCTCAATACACAAGGACCAGAGTTTGAGACCCAAAGCTAGTTCAGTATCACAGAATTGTAATCCCAGCACTGAGGAGGCCGACTCAGGTAGGTCCCTAGAGCTCACTGGCCAGCCTGATCATCTAGCCCCAGGTCAATGAGACCCTGTCTCTGAAGAAAACAAGGCGGAAACCAGCCATGGGAGTGACTCACATCCTTTCTGTCTGTTTGCAAGGCAGGGTTTCTCTGTGGATTTGGGGCCTGTCCTGGAACTTTCTCTGTAGACCAGGCTAGCCTCGAACTCACAGAGAACTGCGCCACTAACACCCGGCTGTGACTCACATCCTTAATCCCAGCACTCAGGAGGCAGAGGCAGGTGGATCTCTTAGAGTTTAAGGCCAGCTTGGTCTACAGAGCGAGTTCCAGGACAGCCAAAGCTATGTATCCAAGCCATGTATTAAAATCATGTTTTGAGGAAGGGTCCCTGAGGCTGCCCCCTGCCTGCTTGCACATGCAAACATATACTCAAGAACACAAACATAAATTCTCTTACAGAACATGGTGTGTGCCCATGTTCCTAATGCTTGGGAGAACGAGGCAGGCAGTCATCTTAAATTCAAGGCCAGCCCAGGCTCCATACTGAATACCAGCCAAAGCTACATAGCAGGACCGAGTATCTAAAGGTATGTGCTAACCAGGAGTGATGGCACACACCTTTATTCCAGCACTCAGGAGGCAGAGGCTATGCAGCCTAACAACTTTAATCTGATCCCCAGAATCTAAAATGGAGAAAATCAACTTCTAAAAGTTGTCCTCTGGTTTTTACATGTGAACCCATACTTACACACCACACATACAAATGCAAGCACACCATCTCATGTACACACACACACTAGCGGGGTATAGGTGTCTCACACCTATAATCCCAGCACTTGGGAGCTGAGGTGGGATGATTGCTCCCTCAGAATTTGAGCCCAGCCTGAGCTACATAGCCTGCATCAGACCAGCCGAAGAGCAAAAGCCAGTCTTTTTTTTTTTTTTTTTTTTTTTTTTTGGTTTTACGAGACAGGGTTTCTCTGTATTGTTTCAGAGGCTATCGGTCCAGCCCGTCCTCGAACTCACAGAGATCCGCCTGCCTCTGCCTCCCGAGTGCTGGGATTAAAGGCGTGCGCCACCACCACCCGGCACAAAAGCCAGTCTTAAAAAAACAAAACAGCCTAAAAGATGGGATTCCCTTGTCTGGAGACAAAACAGGTTTCAGATTTGAGGTCAAATCCCTCCCTACTCCGCCACTTGCTAGCTGTAAGTAACTTAACCATTCTCTGTCTCTGTTCCTATCTCTGTAAACTGTAGGCAATAATGATACTATGGAGGCCTCATTAAGTGGTCAGGATTAAATGACCACTACATGGAAATCAAATGAAAACTATTGTTATAATAACTTATTATTAGCGATTCCCATAGACCAAGTGTCTCAAGCCTGCCCCGACATCCAGTAATAAAGACTTCATTCGCTGGGCCTTTCCCGCATGCCGATGACCGTGCTAGCTAACCCAAGTCATTTATTTTTCAGAAAATGATCAGTGGGGCTACTATTTCCATTTTACCCAGTGGAGTGTTGTAGGAGTTCAGCAGCTTTTGCAAGTCACATGATTAGTACACGCCACACTTCTGCCTCGTGGGTATCGGAGACTCCCTGGTCAGTTTGAATTTACTGAACCCTGTGACCTGCTGTATTTTTTTAGGTGGGTGTTTGTGTGGGAAAAGGGCTACCAGGAAACTGACTCTGTGGTCAGCTCGGTGACAACCAAGGCCAAAGGTGTGGCTGTGACCAACACTTCTGAACTTGGATTCCGGATCTGGGATGTGGCGGACTATGTGATTCCAGCTCAGGTATGACTGTCACCTCTGTGCACAAGAATCTCTTCCCGCTTTTGCACACACACACAGCGTGTGGCCAGAGTTCGCCACCTCCGTGCCCAGGTTGTTTTAGCCGGAGACAGCAATGCAGCCAGATCTCTGAGATGTCATTTCTAACAGAGAACCCTGGGGAGCTCTCCTGCTGCTCTCGAGAGGGGCTGGCTCCCACCCAGCACCGTCTTTTCCACACCTTCATTTCTCCTGGCTCAAGAGGATGAGAAAGCAAAGGCCTTTAGTCCTGGGCAAAGAGGCTGGAAAAACCACCTTCCGTAATGTGTTTGCTTTTGTGTCTTACACCCACAAGGTAAAGCTTGTCAGAGGTATATTAAAAACAACAAACAGCAGTTAAAGACCATACACCCATACTAAAAGGAAACCATCCCATTCCAACAGGAACAAAAGGAAGAAACTGCTGCACGGGGTGTCCTAACTTACACAGTCTGCTAACCCACACAGACACAAGCTGACATTTTGTCTCTCTCTCTAGAACTAGGGCTCACACATGCTAGACTAGCACTCTGCTGTGGAGCCAAATCTCCAGCCCCCAAATCTGTGAGTTAAACATTGACTCTTCAGTTATGTGCCTCTTGGCCAAACCCTGGCCTAATGTCTCCTCCAGATGGCTGGTGTGCTGGCTTGGTGTTTATGATGGCCAAATTAGTTAAGCTGTGAGCACTTGACTTGGAGCTAGGAGGGAGAAAGCAAGGATTTCAGATATTCTCTTTAAAAAGTGTTCATTTCCCTGGCCTTCCCAGGAGAAGGGTTTGATGGGAGAAAAGCCAGAACTAAAGAGACAGAAAAATAAAATGATCTTTCATGCATGTTGGTGCATGCTTTTAACCCCAGCATTCAAAAGGCAAGGGCAAGCAGATCTCTGTCAGTGTCAAGGCCAGCCTAGTGTGCATAGTGAGTTCCAAGCCATTCAGAGCTACACAGTGAAACCCCATCTCAAAAACTATTTTTTTAACCAGTTGAAGCCAGTGGCTGTAATCGGATGGTCTTTTGGTACAGTCTCAGCAGAGTGATGGTGGCTTCCAACCCATCCTAACAAGCTCTGGGACTGTTACACCCACTGTCCCTGCTGCAGCCAAGGAAGGGGATGTGCTCTGCTCCTGGGATTGAGTGGGAAGGGCCAGCCAGCAGCTGTGTTCAGTCAAGCAGCTGAATTGGGGGCCAGGGGCTCCCCGGGGCTCTCTTCCTGAGCTGTCTCCATGGTTGGAACAGACCTCCACATCTATGAGATGCACCTCTAGACTGAAGTTTCCCTAAATGAAAGAGATAAGCCACAGGAAACAGAAAGTAGGCTACAATGAACTGTGCACGTCTAACTCGAGGGAGGTTCAGAAGCAAGACTTCTGTTGGCACCAGTTAAGGGGTTATCTGTCTGTTAAGCGGCTGGAAGAGTGACAAGGTGTCACTCCTGCTTCACCTCTCCTGTGACTTGCCTCACAGCAGTTTGTTCTGGCTGTTACCAGAGCATTCGCCACCTTGTCTGACCTGGGTGGGGATGTCTGCAGAGACCTGATCCCAGAGATGGCTCCCAGAACTGACTCTACCTTTTGGGGGGATATAAAATGCTGGGAACGTCTAGAAGTTCTTTAATATTCAATGCACCCAGTGGAGGTTGGGGAGGGGGCATCTAACTAGAATCTCCTGGGGTCATTGTCTGTCATTCTTTGTATGAGAAGGTCATAATTAACAATTCCTCTCTTGTCTACAGAGAATTGCTTTCTAGAAACACTGGCACCTTTGTATCTACGAGAGATAACAAAACCACTTCAAAGAGAGAAATGTCTGTTAATAGTTGGCAGACTCTTCTCATTCATTCATTCCTTTATTCAGTTTTGAGACAGCCTCACTGTGCTGCTTTGATTGGCCTGGAACTTGCTATGTAAACAGATTGGCTTTGAGCTCCCAGAGATCCTTCTGTTTTTGCTTCCTGTGTATTGGAATCAAAGGCATGGGCCATCATATCCAGCCTTTAGCATGCTTTTAAAAAAATATTTTATGTGTCTGTGTGTGCACTTGAATGCATCTATATTTACACCATGTGTGTGCAGTAACAAGCAGTGGTCAGAAGAGGGCATCAGATCCCCTGGAACTGGTGTTGCAGATGGCCCTGAACCACCATGTGGGTGCTGGGAACTGAACCCAGGTTCTCTGGAAGAGCAGTAAGTGCTCTTAACCACTGAGCCATCTCTCCAGCCTGCAATTCTTTTGTGTGTGGGTGGAAATGGAAATTGAACATGTTTCTGAGGTTGGTGTGTGTGGCAAGCATTTATCAGTGTCTCCTTCCTTTTGATGGCCAAAGGCTAATGCTATTGCACAGATAGACCACAGCTGGTTTTCCATTCACAAGCCTTTGGCTTGTCCCCACCTTTTGCCTGTCATGAAGCGCTGCCAGGAACATTTGTGTGCAATGATCTGTTTCAGTTGCTATTTTAGCTTCATGGAGAGTGAACAGGGGACCAGAGATCAGGTTTTTAAGTTGTTCTCTTAAAATTCATTTTATGTGTTTGAGTGTTTTGCCTGGATAGGTCAGAAAAGGGCATTGGATCCCCTGGAACTGAAGTTGTAGATGGCTGTGAGCTGCCATGGATGTGGTGGCTGGGAACTGAACCTGGGTCTGCAAGAGCAGCCGGTGCTCTTAACCTGAGCCGTCTCCAATCACCTTAGATTGTACTCTGAAGGAAACTTCTGGACAGATTTAATAGCACACACCTGTAATCCCAGCTCTTGGGAGGTGGAGACAGGAGGTTCAGGAGTTCATGAGCAGCTTTGGCTACATACATTTAGAGGCCAGCCTGGGCTCCATGAATCCCTGTCTCAGCTGCCCCTCCCACACACAAAAAGGGGAATATCTGGCTTTCTTCCTTACTTTGTTTTTGTTTCAAGACAAGGTTTCACTGTGTAGCCCTGGCTGTCCTAGAACTTACTCCATAGCCCAGGATGCCCCAGAACTCACAGAGACCCACCTGCCTCTGCCTTCTGAGTGCTGGGATTAAAGGCGTGGGCCACCACTGCACAGCTTTTTCTTTTTTAATGTTTTTTTGACCTCTAGTTTTTGGTTTTTAAATTCTCAAAAGCTTTCTTTTATGGATATTTTTTTATTTTATTGTATGGGTGTTTTCCTTTGCATGTATGTCTGTGCACCACTTTTGTGTCTGGTGCCTATGGAGTCCAAAAAAGGGTGTCAGGTCCCCCCAGAACTTGTTAGCTACCATGTGGGTGTTGGGAATTGAATGGGGTCCTCTGGAGGAGCAGCCAGTGCTCTTAACCACTGAGCCATCTCTCCAGCCCCATTGGGCTTTCTCCGGGCCCCACTCAACCCTTGTGAGGGTGACTCAACAGGGTTCTCTCCTCTCCGCAGGAGGAAAACTCACTCTTCATCATGACCAACATGATCATCACCGTGAACCAGACACAGAGCACTTGTCCAGAAGTGGGTAACTCTCAGGGAAAGCCCCTCAGGCTTCACACCCGCATCTGCTCCTGGCACACTGTGTGTAGGTGTGGGTGCTAGACCACATGGAACCTGTTTCTGTTCATTCCTTTTCCAGATTCCTGATAAGACCACCATTTGTAACTCAGACTCCAGCTGCACTGTTGGCTCCACAGACACCCACAGCAATGGTAGGAGTGAGTGACTGAGCAGCTGGGACCTCTCAGCAGATGCTGGACCTGGGGAAAGTGACTTCTGATGACACCACACTTACTGTGGTGCATCTGCAGTCGAAAAATTGCAGAAATAGAAATCTGCCACACCTCCCCCAGCCGGGAGATGGTGGCACACGCCTTTAGTCCCAGCACTCGGGAAGCAGAGACAGGCGGATCTCTGTGAGTTCGAGACCAGCCTGGTCTACAAGAGCCAAGTCCAGGACAGCCTCCAAAGCCACAGAGAAACCCTGTCTCGGGGAGAAAAAAAAAGAAAGAAAGAAAATATCTGCCCCCTCCCCCTGGGATACAGCCTGGATTCAGTTCCAGTGCATCATCAGAGAAGAACCCCCCCTCAATAATGCAACATGAACCTAGGGGAACCTGGTGTAAGAGCATTCACTTGTGTTGTGGCAGACACTCCAGATGGTGTCCCTCTCCGTGAGTTGGTGTCACTTTTGGCGGTTATGTGGCCAACCCTGAGGCAGCCTTCTTGTTTTACTTCCATTTTCTAGACACATCTAAATCCCATATTTACTAAAGACTGACTGCCCAGGCCCCCGGGGTCTGATACTGTACTACATACAGGTAAAAGATTGTCGACGAGACCCCTGTGGACCTGGCCCTGTTCTCTCTTCACAGGAATTGGGACTGGAAAATGTGTTCCGTTCAATGAGTCTGTGAAGACCTGTGAGGTGGCAGCATGGTGCCCAGTGGAGAATGACGCTGGTGTGCCAACGTGAGTCCTACCCAAGGTTTTCAGCCTGGAGGGAGGTGACAGAGAGGGTGAGGTGAGCTTGGGTGCTGGTGTGTGTGTGTGTGCATTCTTGGTCTATGAGTGGGGCCATTGCACTCAGGGAAAGTGGCTGTCAACCACAGAGCAAGGAAACCACAAGGGGTTGTTACTTGTGATAAGGGCACAGGTGATTTTTACTGTCAGTTGCAAATGACCAGCAGGAAACAGTTCTCGGTTTTTGGTCTTGATTTTTTTTTTTTGAAAGAGCCTCATTATGTGGTCAGGGATGACTTTGAGCTCTTTTGTTGTTGTTAAGTAATTTTTATTACATTTGTGTGCGCGTGTGTGCACATGTGTGCAAGTGTACCATGGCATGTGTGAAGGTCAGAGAACAACTTGTGGGTCAGCTCTCTCCTTCTACCATTTGGGACCCAGGAATGGAACTCAAATCTCAGGTACTGCAGCAAGTGCCTTTACCCTAGGTCATGTCACCAGCCCTGTCCTGGACTCTCGGCCTCCATGCACAGCACATTTCATGTTGCAACTAACAACAGCAAGACTAAGCAACCAGGCATGGTAGTGCATACCTTTAATCTAGCACTGGGGTGGCAGAGGCTGGCGGATCTCTGTGAATTCGAGCCCAGCCTGTCTACAGAGTGAGTTCCAGGACAGTCAAGGTTATGTAGAGAAGCCTTGCCTCAAAAAAAAAAAAAAAAAAAAAAAAAAAACCAGGAAGGGGCTGGAGAGATGGCTCAGCAGTTAAGAGCACTGACCGCTCCACTACAGGACCTGGGTTCAATTCCCAGCACCCATATAGTAGCTCACAGCTGTCTGTAACTCCAGTTCCCGGAGACCCAATACCCTTACCCAGGCATACATGTAGGCAAAACACTAATATATACATAATAAAATAAATGTTTAAAAACCCAAGGGATTAATCAATTTTCTTGAAGATTGAAAACAATACATGTGTGTGTGAATTGTGTGCCTGTGGTGCCCTCGAGGTCAGTAGAGGTGCTGGATCCTCTGGAGCTGAGTTACAGGCACCTGTGACCCACCTGACCTAGGGTAAGAGAGCCTACTGAGCCATCTCCCGCTCTCTCCTTTCATGTAAAAAAAAAGGTTTTCTTATTTTTGTTTGTTTGTTTGTTTGTTTGTTTGTTTGAGACAGGGTTTCTCTGTATTGCTTTGGAGGCTGTCCTGGAACTCACTCTGTAGAGCAGGCTGGTCTCGAACTCACAGAGATCTACCTGCCTCTGCCTCCCCAGTGCTGGGATTAAAGGCATGTGCCACCAATGCCCGGCCTAGGTTTTCAAATTAAAATATAATTACATCACTTCCCTTCATCCAACTCAGCCATATAACCTCCACCCCATTCTCTCTCAAATTCATGGTGTCATGTTTTGCATTTCTTTGTTGTTACACACACACACACACACACACACACACACACACACACACACACACACGAATACAGATAACCTGCTCAGTCATCTTAGGATTAACCTTCTTTGACTTTTAAATGTGGATGCCGCTGGGCCAGTAAGACAGTTCAGCAGAAAAGACCACTTGTGTCAGGGTGAGTTCTATCCCGAGACCCACGTGGTGGAAGGAAGGAGAGCCAGCTTGCCCATGGTTGTCTGACCTCTATGCATGCACATGCAATGAAGTTTTTAATGTCAAAGTTTAGGCAGGGGGAGGGTGGCAAGGCCCAGGCCTGTCTGCATTACACATAGGAGACTATATCTGAAGAAACAACAAAACAAAATCACAGCATGGCTAAAGTTGTATTTGACATTTTTTTTTTCTGTTTGGTGTTTTGAGACAGGGTTTCTCTGTAGCTTTGGAACCTGTCCTGGAACTTGCTCTGTAGACCAGGCTGGACTGGAACTCACAAAGATCCGCTTGTCTCTGCCTCCCTAGTGCTGGGACTAAAGGCGTGCGCCACCACCACCCGGCTTGACAATGTATTTATATTGTATTCATTGTCTGCACAGGGTGTGTGATCTGGGGCTTATTCTTTGTAGGAAATACAAATCAGCAAGTGACAACCAAGACACCCCAAGTCAGGGCTTCCTCCTTGATGTAAAGGAAGGGACTGGATAAGAACGGAAACCTCTGTTTTCAGCGACTGTGTGTGCATGCGGATGTTACGTCTGTGTGCATACCCAGAGGCTGGAATACAGCCTTAGGCAGGGCTGGGGTCAGTGACTCCATCCATAACTTCAAAGTTCTTGTCTGCCTCAGGGAAGGCCTCCTCCACAGAAGGGTCAGCCCTGCATTTCTGGATTCTCACTGAGAAAAATCCACTCCAGAAATGAGTCCCCTCGTGGACAGACTCGCCTCGTTTGTCAGCCAGAAGCTGACGTGGCACCCTCCAGAGCCCGCTGGCGGCAGGGTTTCCTTTTCAGCGGGGCCAGGATGTACCTGCAGGTGAACACCCGGAAAGGCAAACCTGGGGCCAGCAGATGGCTAAGGAATCATGGCGGCCGGCCATAGCCAGCATCCTTCTCAGCTAATGCTCAGGTTCTTCAAGCCTGATGCTTTGGGCCGGAAGTCCCGCCTTTTCAGAGGAAGGACCAGAAGGCCTGGTGACCTAGTGTTATACAAAAGAGAGTAGAAAATACCAGAGGCTCCCCCTTTCTCCTTGAGAGAGACGTTGCAAACTACTAGAAAGGTTTCACAGCCATGTGCATGCATTTAGTAACCATTAAAATTCTTTTCCAGGCCAGCTTTTTTAAAGGCTGCGGAAAACTTCACCCTCTTGGTAAAGAACAACATCTGGTACCCCAAGTTTAATTTCAGCAAGTAAGTGGGGGCTAGGCATGCGTGCTCACAAGCCTCTTAAGGAACGTCTGGCTCTCCCCAGGGCCCCCTTGCTCAGACTATCTGCTTCCTCCCTCCCTGACTTCAGGAGGAATATCCTCCCCAATATCACCACCTCCTACCTCAAGTCGTGCATTTATGACGCTCATACGGATCCCTTCTGCCCCATATTCCGTCTTGGCAAAATCGTGGAGGATGCGGGGCACAGCTTCCAGGATATGGCAGTTGAGGTGGGTGCTAGCATGGCTTTTCACACACCTCCTTGGCCCCAGCATGGACCTAAATTCTGAAAACCTGGCTGTGTTGTCTCTCTTGCTTTCCCAACAGGGAGGCATCATGGGCATCCAGGTCAAGTGGGACTGCAACCTAGACAGAGCTGCCTCCCTCTGCCTGCCCAGATATTCCTTCCGGCGCCTTGACACCCGGGACCTGGAACACAACGTGTCTCCTGGCTACAATTTCAGGTGTGTGAGCCTGGGCCCCGCCACTCACGTGTTGGGGGAATAGTGACAGTTGATACCTATGGGGTTATTCATATCCCGCCCCCCACCAAAAGGTCAGTGCCCAAGGCACAGGCTGTGTGTGCATCACGTTCAAGCAGGAAGGCCAGGACCCTGGCAGGGCACTCACAGCGGGGTCTTCAAGCTCTTCTTGCTCTTTGATGCTACAAGTGCTCATCAATTAAGAGCACTGGCTGCTCTTACAGAGGACCAGGGTTTAGTTCCCGGCATCTATAAATCCGAATCTAAGGCATCCAACACCCTCTTCTGGCTTCCTTGGGCGCTGCATGTACATGGTGTACTTACATGTAGGCAAAACACTCAAACACATAAAATAAAATCTTTCCATTAATGTGTTGAGGTTTGCCTGGAGGAGAGAAGCCAGCAGCGCAGGCCTCTGAGAGCCATCTTTTGCCACATCCCCGCTCACGACTGTGGGGAACAGATGAGCTTGTGGACTCTGTTCAAGGCCAGTGGGATCTGGTCCAGAAATTGGTTTTCCAGTAACTGATTCTGCCCCAGCATGCAGAGGTTACAGGTGTAAAGACTCAAGAGAGGCCTGTGCTCAAGCCAGGCCTAGTGGCACACATCCATAATCCCAGAACCTGGGGGACTAAAGCAGGAGAAGCACAAATTTGAGGCAAGTTGTGTTACATTGTGCAACCCTGTCTCAGTAAAATAAAACAAAGGACTGCACTCCAACTTGCCTGCTGAAAATGCCGGTATATCAGCTTCCCTGGGTTCTAGTAACAAAACTGAATGGTTCGAAACAACAGAATTTTATTCTCTAGTATTTCTGGAGCCAGCAGTCTAAATTCAAGGCATCTGCAGGGTTGTGCTGCCGCAAGCTTGGTAGTCGAATTCTGTGCCTTTTCAAGCGTTTGGTAGCTACCAGCAATCCTTGGCTTGTACATGTCACCATCTCTGTGGCTATATGGCTTCCATTCCCCTATGTAGCTGAGGATGATCTTCAACTCCTGAACCCCCTGCCATCACCCCAAGTACTGGGATTAGAGGTGTGCACCACACCTACCTTCTCTTTTTTTGGACAGGCGGGGAACTTGCTGTGTAGACCAGGCTGGTCTTGAACGCCAGAAATAGGATTTCTTTCGCCTTTTGAGCGCTGGGTTAAAGGCATGCACCACCACGCTTGGCCCAGTTTCTCCTCCTCTTCTTGAACATTATTAGATTTAGGGTGGACCTTAATCTAGTATGACCTCATTTTAACTAAAATTACATCTGTAAAGCCTTATTTCCAAATAAGGTCACATTTGCAAGCCCTAACTGGACATGAGCTTGGGAAGGGGGCACTATCAAATCCAGGACACCTGGGAATGTGATGAGAGGCCTGGGAACACCTTTGCCGTTTTCTTAAAGCAGCAAAATCCTGTGTATGTTTTACTGGCATTTGCTGGGTGGCTCCTTAAAAAGTTGCCCTTGACTCCCCCTAGTGGTGCTTTGTGGAATCAAATTTGTGTGGCGTAAGAAGTCTTACTGAGACTAGAGCAGGTATTTGGCTGCTCCCCCGGGAGTCAGATGTCGCTTATTCCATCTCTATTACTGCTCAGTTCTTATAGAGACCGTTGTGAAGACAGGCCTCAAGCTTGGGTTGGACTCCTAGAGCTGAGAAGTTGACAGACTCACAGGACGCCCGTCTCCTGGCTTCCAGTAGTCTCACCTGCGTGTCGCAAGCCTGGACCACAGCATAGAAGCTGTGGACCAGATCAATCCCAGGCTTAAGATCCCAGCAGAATGCTAGGGCTGGTGTCTGATAGAACAGTGGTAGAGGCAAGGTTTCTTCTGGAGGTGTTGAGATTCTCAAATTGGCTGGTTGTATATTTAAGTTTCTGGAGCTCTGGGATTACAGCCTCCCCTGGCTTGAATTCTGTGGTTTGGTAGGAGCCACATGAACAACAAAAGCAGATGGGCGCAGGAAGAACCACTGACGTGTGGCATGTCCCACCTACAGCTAAGATCCCAGGCCCGTGCTGTGGCTGGCTTGGCCCTCACCCTTCAACGCAGGCTTGTGGATCCCTAGCAGCTGACAAGTTCTCTGTTGGTAGCCAGGGCCCCCTGGAGAGCAGCAGGTGTCTTGGCTGCATCAGGAAGGCCATTCAGAGCTAGAGGCTCCTGCCATCCTGTTCCTCCATGGGGGCCCCAGCCCCCTTGCCACCTGCCTCAGATTAGCCGGGAGGCTGACCTGGGGTGCTTAGTGTCTGCTAAGCCCACGGAGCAACTCATTAGCCAGACCAGCTGTGTCCAGGGACTCAGGTCCCGCCTAACAGCTTTCTCCTAGGACCCAAGGTCTGCACTTACTCCCTCACTCGCCCTCTTGTCCTTCAGGTTTGCCAAGTACTACAGGGACCTCACTGGCAACGAGCAGCGCACACTCATCAAGGCATATGGCATCCGCTTTGACATCATCGTGTTTGGGAAGGTTTGCCCGTCTTCGAACCCCACTGGGAGAGGGGGGGCCACCCTGCCCTGTTTTCTGCCCTCATCAGAGCACTGTGGTTCTCTTTCTGTCCTCCCCAGGCTGGGAAGTTTGACATCATCCCTACCATGATCAACATTGGCTCTGGCCTGGCACTACTGGGGGTGGTGAGTGGCAAACTGTCCCTTTCCGGGAGTGGACCTTTCTCAATTAGCGAGCAGCTTAGCGAGCGCTGTCCTTCCCTACGCCTCAGACTTGTCTCTAGACGCTTCTAGGGTGAGGGGGAAGAAGCCCTAGACATCCCACCTCTGAGACCAAGCTCCTTGGTCGGGGTCCAGTCTGATTCAGAGGGATGGAGAATGCCCTTCCTCCTCGGTAGACCAGGTTTCTAAGGAAGGGGTCCACACCAAGTAACAGCTGAAAGCATCCTGGTTCACTCTGTGCTAACCCAGGCGACCGTGCTATGTGACGTCATAGTCCTCTACTGCATGAAGAAAAGATACTACTACCGAGACAAGAAATATAAGTATGTGGAGGACTACGAGCAGGTAGGTGGCTGTGCTCCCTCAGCCAAGGAGTCCGAGCGCCCTGTCTTGTCTCCTGTCCCAGTGCAGGACAGAACCCAGAACCAGGCCCTTCTACAAAGGTTGGCACCTGCCAAATGACCACCTGTGGTCACAATTATTTCCAGCTTTTTCATCAGACGGACTCTCTCTTTAACCCAGTCATTTTTTGCTTTTATTTTTTGGAGACAGGGTTTCTCTGTGTAGGCCTGGATGTCCTGGAACTTGTTCTGTAGACCAGGCTGGCCTCAAACTCACAGAGATCCACCTGCCTCTGCCTCCTGAGTGCTGGAATTAAAGGTGTGCGCCACCAACGCCCAGCTAACCCAGCTTTATTTTAATTAGTCACACCTGGATTGTGATACCGGCTAGTAGGACAGTATCTATGTCCACATGGTACTTACATTCATCTTGCAGAATGAGGGTTTTGGACCATACTCTGAGACCCTCCAGAACTTGAGGTCTCTCCATTGCTAAGATCCTTCCAGAAATCCTCAGGGAAAGCACCGAGCTCCTCCTGCCCTGGGTGGTTGGGTAACTCCTGGTGGCACACACACTGGGTAGTTCCTTGTTTCCTCCTTTGCAGGGTCTCGCAGGTGAGATGAGCCAGTGATGCTGGCCCTACACTTCAAGCCCACACGGCCCTCATGGAAGCAGTGAGAAGGGAGAAATGGCGGCTGCATTGCTCTAGAGAAAGTTCCAGAGTTCAACTCTGTCTCCTCCACTCCACAAACACTCAGGGTTGCCCAGCGGGTCTTATATTGTTTTGGTTTTGTCGATTTTGAGCCTGGGTCTTGCTCTGTAGCTCAGATGGGCTTCAGACTCAAGACCTTCCTGCTCCGGTCCCCAGGAGTGCTGGGGTTGCAGAGGTACTCACGCCACAGCACCCAGTTTTTTTTTTAACCTTTTACAGAATGTCACTATACATAGCTCAGACTGGCCTCAAACTCAAGACATTCCTCTATCCTTTACAGCCTCTTAACCTCGCCTTTTGGTGTGTGTGTGTGGGGGGGGTCATTTGCTCACTATACACAGTGAACTCCTGGTGTGGTGTTGATGGGGTCACCTGTTTATATACTGTGAGCATAATGAGGTAATGACAATCTGAGAACAGAGTCCCTGCTGTGGCCATCTTCTCCAGGGTTCCCAGGACTGGCTCTCCTTCTCCAGTCCTTCCGGGCCCAGCAGCTCTGTCCAAGCACTTTATAAGGGAGTTCCCCAGGTGCTGTCAGCAGGCCTGGGGCACTGTCCCTCTTCCCTGTATCTAGAGACTCTGTCCCCTGTAACAAAGGCAGAGTTAGCGTTCCCTTTCAGAAGGGCTATGTTGGAATGACTGAGGACCAATCATTAAAAGAAATGACTTTTTAAAACCCTGTCTGTGTGGTCTGTTAGCATGAGCTGGAACTCTCCTTCTGTTATGAAAGTTGTCAACATCCAAGTGGAACCACCAAACAAGGGGACGGGCTGGGGTGGGAGGGCCTCATGTGCCTAAGCCTGCAGCTTCCACATCACACTGACTTAATTCCGTACTGTGAATTGAATCTCTGTGTAGGCCTGGATGTCCTGGAACTTGCTCTGTAGACCAGGCTGGCCTGGAACTCAGAGATCCGCCTGCCTCTGCCTCCCGAGTGCTGGGATTAAAGGCGTGTGCCACCACCACCCGGCTCACTCAGCTTTATTTTAATTCGTCACACCAGAATTAACTCCCCTTGGCCACTGTCAGCTCAAGTACTCAGGGGTATGACAGGCTAGGAATGTTCTATTTCTTCTGGGTTAACGGGCAACCTGGGCTTTTGCTTTGGGTAGGTGTGTGGAGAGGAGGGAGAAACAAGACTTATGGAATGGTTTTAACAAAACTCTGGCTTGTGGGGCTTTCTTTCTTAAGTGCTCGCATCAGGGCTGGAGATGGCTGGATGGTTAAGAGCCTTTGCTGCTCTTGCAGGACCTGAGTTCAGCTCCCAGCACCTACATCAGGAGATCAGGAGGGTCATGAATGACTGTGACTCCGGCTCTAGGGGATCTGACATCAGCCTTCACAGACAACCACATGACATGTACACACACACACACACACACACACAATGATTTCTTAGGTGCTTCCTAAACACAGATCACATGGACCTGGATGGTTTAGGGACATCCAAATTCACATTTTAGAAGCTGGATCTCTGGTGTGACAGGATGAAGAGACAGAGCCTCGTGGCACACTCTTCCCTCATGAAGGGACTAAGTGCCTTATCAAAAGGCTGGACAGAGGGTCTCACATCTTTGTGGTCCCTCCATGTTCTGAACATCATCCTGGAAGCAGACAGCAGCTCTCACCAGACCCAGGATCTGCTGCAAAGGTTTCCCTGCCTCCAGAAATCTTGGGAATTTCTATTTGCAAATGAGGCAGCTTTGGACACTCTGCCCCAGCAACACCCTGAGATTAAAACAAATGCTTTGTCTGCTATCACAAAGGCTACGGTGCGATGACAGAGGCGATGGCATCTTCTCTGGGTAGGGTGTGAGGGTGGATGTTTGGGACAGTTTACTGCACTCACCTGGGTCGTCTGGCATTCAGCTGCGCCTCTACTCAGGCCATACCCTGGCACTTCCTCTTCAGCTGGTAACAGAACCCTTCACCCTCACATGCATGAGTGGGCTTTCGGAGGCTCCCTGAAGCCTGCACAGTGGCGAACCCTGAGGAATGGCTTTTCCACAGCCTCCTGTTCTCAGTGGCGTTTTCTGAACAGGAACCGTCTCTTGACGAAAGAGCCTCTATTCCTTACTTTAGACAGAACCTCACTGTGCAGCCCAGACTGGCCTTGAACTTGGAATGTTCCTGCCTCAGTCTCCAAGTATGGGGATTACAGACATGTGCACCATATATGACAACAGCCCATATTTTTGTAGCATGGGATGGAACTTTTTTCAAAATGTCAAAGCCAGGAAAACAATGCCCAGTCAACAGGACATGCCTCACATGATGAAAATCACTCCCAGTACTCTCCTGTCCAACTTTCCAGAATCCTACCCTTACCTGGGAGCAGTTTACATGGAACCCAGGAATGTGCATCTGCCCTGCTTCCAAGAACTGTGCGTATGGCCGGTCTCAGAATAACGCTGAATAATGACACCCCGAGGCATGCCTACATCAGGGGATCTGCCAGCTGCATTAACTATGACTTGGGCATCTGACTCGCTATCAGCCTAAGGGAAGGATTGCCAACATAAGCAGAGGCATCACAGAAGGACAACTACCAACAGAAAACCCCCAGGAGGCCCGGGCTTTGCACCATTTTGCTGTCTGTTTATTTCAAGTTTACAGAGAAGCTTAATCACCTGTGGGAAAACAACCGCAAGCTTGTCTCTTCAGTTCATGTACTTGTAAGTGATAAATACACAGTATTTAACTCTGTACACCTGGTAAAAGGAAAATGCATAGTAGAGAGGATCGGGGCAATAAAACAGAAGCAGAGGGCATCGGTCACCAAATAGAAAAGTCCAAAGTCTCACGCAGCTCGGCCCTGAGGCTGGAGAAGAGGAAACAGCACTCTTCCCTAGCACCTTGGGAGCAAATGGAGGCTCTGGTTCTGCACTGGTAATGTAAAGTACACCCTCAGGAAGGAGGCGAGGGCTGTGGGCCTAACCCGGTGTCTCAACGTGCACAGACGTTCCCCTAATTCTAGGAAGGTCCGGGGACAAGAGCTCTGTCCCATGGGAAGGCCAGACCAGTAGGGAGGTGACCTCTGTAGCCCCGAATGACAACAAGGGGCTCTGTAAGGTGTCTGGGAGCCACTAATAGCCTGTGGGATGTATGGGGGAGGCAGAAAAGACAGAAAAGAAGGGGTGGGACTTGTGCTTTCTTCAAGGCCGTAGGTGCAGACCAAGCCTGCCTATCCGTTAATCATGGGTGACCCAGCACGGAACGAACAGTGGGCATCCTATCTGCCCACACAGAAAAGCTGCCGAGGCAGCCTGCTGACAACGCTTTTGGCTTTTGAAAACAGTGCTGTGCTCTAATGCTCTAGTCATGGCTGTACCTCTTACACTTCCCACGGCAGCTGGACAGGGTGGGAGAGGGGGGGCCGCTCCTTTCCACAGCTTTCTTTGGTGTTTCATTGTTTAAGAAAAAAGTTAACCCACGTGGACCTCTCAACCCCGGGTGCTGCATGATTGATCGCTGGCAATCCACTTCAGACACTTTGGATGGCAAGTTCCGGGGTAGGGAGAGCGGGCATTGCCCAGTAGGGTTGTGTAAACACAAGAAGAGTTCTGCAGAGCTCTGTACAATGCTTGCCCTCCTGAGGCAGGCCTCTTGGCCAAGCCAGAATCCAGGCAGACAGACTGGGACTGAGCCTCAGGACCTGTTAGCTTTAACTACCTCCAGGTGCTTATTGCAAGCAAGCCGAACTACATCTGTGGCCAGAAGGGCTAGAGCTACTGGGTTATTTCTCCTTACATTTAAAAGAGGAAAGTTACAAAGACAATGCAAGCAGGTGAGAGGACCCCCTCACACACACAGTAGAGTCTTTGCCCTAATTCTAGTTAACTTATGTGACAGCAAGAAATGTCTGGCAAGAACTATTCAAGAGCTTAAGAACACCTAGACTCTGCATATGGCCAGGCAAGGGGGAATGGGCCTCACTCCCCCCTCTGCAGGAAAACCCTGCACAGAGGCCCACCAGACAGAAGCTAGCAGGAAGCAGTCTTCTGAGCCTCAATACTGAGACAGTCATTACAGATCACTCCAAAGCCCTGGAAAGAGTCTGGAAGCCCCCGTTAAACTTCATGGTTTCCCCTGTGGCCCTTGATACTCACACCTAAACCTCTACTAAACTTCCAGTATTGGCTAGAAGTCAAAAAGGTCCACATTTGCTCTTGAGGCCCCTGGCTACAAAGAATAAAACAAAAAGGTCCTTTGCCCTGAGGAATGTCTCTTTTCTCTACAGTGGCACCCTGATGTCACTGTGTGGTTCACCCTAAAGCCTTGACCCTAAGGATAGCCATCTGTGCCTAAGCTCAGTGATGGTGCCGCCCACAGGAAAGTGGCCCCGCGGGACAGCGACGCTTCATTGACTACATCAACCAGACAGTACTTCAGAGGAGAGAGCTTACAGTCCCCACCACACAATCACACGATGGAAGCTGTAACAAGCCCCTGGACGTTCCAATATGTAACTTCTGAATTTCTCCAGACTCCAGGCCAGCGAGGGACTCGGCATCAACTGTTGAGTCTTCAGCCATGTAATGTACTTGAAAGTGCAGGCTTTCACCCTGAAGTTTTTGCCAATTTACAAGGAGAATTAGCTTAGCTGACTCGGCCAACAGGAAGAAACGTGTTCCGTTCTCCGGACTAGCCTTTGCCACTACAGCTGCTGAATGCCCTTCCCGAGTGGCTAAACGCCCCTCAAGCATTTCAACTGCAAGCCCTTTTAGTTTTCCTGACCAAAATTTCACCCGTTAAAAAAAGAAAAAAAAAACACCTAGAAAGTCCTCATTACAAATAAATTACATCCAAGTGCCCTGCAGCCACTGTCCCTCCATGGTTCTGGAAGGCGCCCGGCTTCAGGTTTACACGGGTCACACTGAATCTTCCACTCCCCTCAAGTGTAGCCCCAGCCAGCAGTTCCCCACTTGAGTCTTCACACAGCTGCAGTCCACACACACTCACTTGGTACGTCTGACATGGTCCTGAATTCACGATGAAGGTGTTTTGTTTGTGGTTCGTTTTTTTTTTTTTTTTTTTTTGGCATAAAAATCTTTTAAAAAGCAATTGTCCCAAAATGCATGTTGGTCTGGGTTTGCAACTCCTCACACCCGCCAGTCCGGCCAGCCAGCAGCCAAAGTCGACGTCATGGAGTCAAGTCCTTTTTTTTTTCTTTGTCCCCTTAGACAACAAAGGAAAAAAAGAAAAACCACATACACACACACACACACACACAAAACAAACAACAAACAAACCCCAGATAACCAGAGATGACCGTCAAGGCTCTACACACGTGCTTGGTTTCCGTAGGACATGCTGCTATGGAAACGCAGGGCAGGGTGCAGCAGCCTCGTGCAGGGCCACACAGCCAGGCATGCGAGGTCGGGTGGTCCAGGCAGTTACTCCGGCTCCATCGCCTCCGCAGACTGCAGAGGAGGCATGCGTGGTGGGGAGCTGGGGGCCGGAGCTCCCCAACTTTCCACGCAGGGACCACGTTTCACAAGAGCACTTCCTCCTCCCCCGCGGGGGCTGGCTCGGGGCCCCGGAGGCTGTCTTCGCTGCCTTGTTTCCTGCTCACCGAACAGAAAAGCGGCGTTAAGACTTGGAGAAATGATGGCGCCCTGGCTAGTCTCCCACGTTCGCCGCTGCCCCCGCGTGTCACATCCGCTCTTTCTACTGGGTCACTTAAAGATTTCTTTCTTTTTTCTTAATTTATTTTTGTTTTATGTGCACTGGTGTTTCGCCATGGGTGTCGGGTCCCCTGGAACTGGAATTACAGACAGTTGTGAGCTGCCATGTGGGTGATTGGATTTGAACCAGCGTTTTCTGGAAAAGCAGACAGTGCTCTTAACCAGTGAGCCATCTCTCCAGTTCCTCTCTTAAAGATTTCAAAGCTGACTTTGCCTCCCTGTAAATGGAGGTGTAAGATGTACCCCAAAGAGCAAGGAACTATAAAACATCTTTACCCTCTAGTCTAGAAGGGCCTGCAAGGCAGACACTGACACCTTCCTTCAGCCATTCCACAGTGAGCTACTGGGATAGTGGCAGGGCCCTATGAACTGGCCTGGCACGTGGAGCCTTCCGGAAAGGCCTATACTGGCCTGGCATACCCAGTCTGTCCTCACCAGCCACTCCCTTCTCAGAAGAGCGCCTCACACCCCACAAGACCTGCCTGGTGTGCCAACCATGGTTTCAGCTGATGGAAGGGGGGGGGTGCTAACGAGGGGACCCGGCACCAGGCTTCTTTCAGAGTCCCCCTGGTAGGAAATGCCACTGCCCTTGCCGCTCAGGACCACTGTCCAACTCTCAACGATGATCTCTGTGCTCTACCCAAACAGGGGCCTCTATCCCTGCCCCTGTGTCCCTACGGAAGAAACAGCTACGTTTGGGAATTACATTACCTGCTCTTTTATTTTTATGCTCCAGAGGTTAAGGTTCCTGGGAAGGGTGCCTGCCCTCAAACCTGCCAACTGGTGCTGGCTGGGCCTCAGCCCAGGACCTCCTGAGAACAAGCCCTGCAAATTCCCAGGCCTGGCAGGCAGCCCTATGCTGTGTCCATGAAGGTGCAGCACAGCACTGAGACAAAGAGCAGGCTTTGCTCAGAGTCAGGAGGTGGCCCTGCCACAGAGGGAACAGAAGGCCCACAGAGGCTTCCATTTCTCATAACAAAAAGGCGGGGCTGCAGGTCATCTGGGAACAAGGTGGGGACAAGGCAGCCATCTGTCTAGCTGCTAATCTGGACACACCTCCCTGGCTCTCCTCTCAAAAGTAAAACAAAACAAACAAACAAACAAAACCCCACCATTCCCAAACAACAGGTGTTCTCTTATGCCACATGAGCCGCTGGCTCCTGGGACACAGGTGGCCTGCGAAAAGCCTCATATAAACCAGTTCCCAACTAGGAGAAAATAGTTCCCACTTGCATGCAAATGTCCAGAGCAGGCTCATCCATTTGTGACAGCCAAGAGGGAAACACCTTCCACCAACGGCCCAAACATCACTGTCCGCCTGAGCGCGTCTCGGTTATGAGAAGGGACGAAGCGCTGACACATGCTGCACTGTGGATGAGCCTTGAAGGCACGTTGCTGAGAGAAAGGAGCCAGACGCGGAAGGCCGCACACGGCACTATCCCGTTTACAGAAGCCCCCCAGAAGGCCGCACACGGCATTATCCCGTTTACAGAAGCCCCCCAGAAGGCCGCACACGGCACTATCCCGTTTACAGAAGCCCCCCCAGAAGGCCGCACACAGCACCATCCCATTTACAGAAGCCCCCCAGAAGGCCGCACACGGCATTATCCCGTTTACAGAAGCCCCCCAGAGTGGACAAATCTGCAGAAAACTGGGCAGGCGTCAGCGGATGTGGTGGAGACAGGCAGAGGAGGACGGTCCTTCCTGGGCTAACACTGCCGTCCCCAGCGCTGCAGAAGTGACTACACTTCACAGTGGCGAGCTATGGGGGTTAATTAACTGAGCGTCTCATTTGTCTGCAGTGCTGGGGTGCCAGAGCTCCAGCCCGAGCCTTCGGTAAAGCTACTGTGTGTGTATGTTCACATATGGATGCAAGTCCGAAGTCAGCTTCAGGCATTTTCCTCAAGTACCAACCACCTTGTTTTTAAAAGTTAGGCTGACTAAACAGTGAGTCTAGGGATCTGCCTGTCTCCACCTCCCCAGGAAACTCACGCTACCTCAACCTGGTATTTTACAGGGGTTCTGTGGGATTGGACTTGAGCCCTCATACTTTAACAATTGAATGATCACCCTGGACCCAATATAGCTAGTTTTAACAAAAAAGTGACTGACAGGAACTCCCAACAGAGACAGGCAGCCCCATCAGGGTCAGTGAGAAGGACACTGGGGATATCTATCTGCCCTAGTGCAGACCCTGGGGGGAGCAGAGTCACCGAACAGGTCCACCCAACTTTACAGGGACAAGTATCCATCTGCCCTGGAGTCTGTAGGCAGCACTGACCTAGATATGCAGGCAGGAAGGAGAAAGCCCTGATCCCGCAATGATCAACAGGCAGAATAGGACTTAGTTCTAGGTTTTACCCTACCAGATGCAGAGGAGCCCTAAGTGAAGACAAACGGAGGGCCTGATCTGTGCTCTGTGTGCACACCAGGGCCACAGCAGACCTTCAATGCCGTTGACGTGCACGGGTATGCAGCTACCCGAAGACCTGGCTGTTAACAGGCATTCCGGGTGGAGCGCCATGCACCGCAGCCCAGCCCACATGCATGACACACCACGGGACCCAAGCCCCTGGATGCCCCTCATTGTAAACCCAGAGGCCCTCGGTGAGCCAGGCACAGCAGCTCAGGCTGAAGGAGATGCCCGCGTGCTCTGCAGATGCCCGCCCCAGACCCCAGCGGAGGGGAGGCGATGGCACAGGCAGGCAGACAGGCATTACCTTGGGCTCAGACAAGGGCTCCCATTCCCTGGTTGGCTTTTTGCTGGAATTGCCAGAGGAAGGGAAAAGGGAAGTGAGAAGGGACCCTGGGATGCCCCCCACATCCCAGAGACAGTAACCCCTGCATCTGCCAGAGCCTGAACCAGGGTGGTCTTTCTGAGCAGATGGACGGACTTGTGCTCACACAGAAAGTCCCAGAGCGAGATCACGTGACCCCTCCATCACACGGCCTCTAAAACACTTGTGTTTCTGGGGCCACAGATTGCCACAACCCAGAACCCCCACTGAAAGAGTAGGTCCTCAGAGGAAGGTGGAGCTTCCGAGTAGGTACACTGCCAACAGATGGATGCTGGCCGAGCTGAGGAGGCCACAAGAGCAAAGCCAGGGCCTACTGAAGCCCCCAGCTGCCTCTCCTGGGATGGCCCAGGCCTAGCTTTAGTCTCCCACCCCCAGAACTGGGAGGGAGGTGGGGTCACTCACGTAAGCAGGTTTCCTGGTGCTGACAAGGAACGTTCCTCCCGCCGGCTGCCCTCAAACGGGTTCCCGAAAGAGCGTTTCCGAATCATGGTCTTCACTAGGATCTGAGGCGGGAGAAGGAAGAGGGCAGTGATGACTGGGCCACCGCCCTCTTCTCTCTGGTCCCTGCCAGCTCCCGGGGCTCACGACTCTTGCAGGCTCTTCCTACCCAGGCGCCACCAGCCAGAACCATCCTGAGCCTGGGGGCAACAGCTAGCTTCCTTCAGACCGCTCCCTGGCTGCAGGATCAGACGTGGCTTGTCATGACCCAGTCCAGCCTACCCGGTCCTAAGACCCGTGTTCCCAATCAGAAACAAGCCATTTATGTCACAATTCTTGGGGAAGAGATGATGTGTTTTCAGAACTGACACTGAATTCACACAAGATAAACTCAACATTTTAAGAGTCTAGAACCTCCGAGCCTACCAAAACTTACCAGTGCTCAAGCCCTTTATAGACAGGAGTTCAGTATTTGTATATAACATCTGCATATTCCCCAGTGTACTTTAAACCATCTCGAGCCAACTTACAACACAGAACATGATATAAACACTTTGTCAACAGTTAGACCTAATCAGCTAGGGCATGACAACAAGTCAGGTTTACATGTTTGGGGTAAATCCAATTTTCTTTTTTCGTGTATTTTCAATCAGTGGTTGGTAGAGTTTATAGATAAGGAAACCAACTATATACAACTGAGTGGTTTTTAGTATATTCACATCACCTTGATCCACTTTCAGATTTACACGACCCTAAAGAGAAACCCCATATCTGTCAGTAGTCATTTCCCATGACCCACAGCCCTTAGCAACCACCAATCTTTCTGTCCATATAGGTTTTCTTATTCTGGGCATTTTCTATAAGTAGAACCATACTCTTAATAGCCTTTTGTGCCTAATTGCTTCTAAATTAAAATTTTTTTTATTTTATGTGTATGAATACTTTACCTGCATGTATGTTTGTTATTGGTCACAGTTAGAAAAAAAAGCTAAACAAAATAGTCAAATTCAAATCTTTTTCTAAAGGAAAAAAGGATATATGATATAGAAATGATGAAATAAAGCTAGGCGTTGGTGGCACACACCTTTAATCCCAGCACTTGGGAGGCAGAGGCAGGCGGATCTCTGTGAGTTCGAGGCCAGCCTGGTCTACAGAGCGAGTTCCAGGACAACCTCCAAAACAATACAGAGAAACCCTGTCTCGAAAAACAAAAACAAAAAAAAAAAGAAGTGATGAATAAAAGGGTAGATTATTGAATCTAATCCAAAAAAATATTAGCCTCAAAATATTTTACATTGGTATCGGTTGTGGTTTATTGATACAAATTTAAAGTTAATTTTGTTATACTGTATACATGTTTCTACTCACTTAAGGCATTATGCTTATTCAGCTCATTTAAAAATGTAATATATAATTAAGAAATACAGATTAATGGTGACTATACTAGTCAAATTTATAGTCATGTTAGGTATTTTTTCAAGATCATACACAGATATATTTAGATAGATAGATGGTCCTCAAACACTTCAAAGACCTACAGAATGTGGCATTTAAAATGTTTGATAACCTAAGGCTTTTCATGACAGTGAGACATGTTTGCTCCTGGCAGCACCAATCTACTTCAGAGAAGATAATGGGCATCAAAGAAACTCTGTATGGAATTTGTTTTCTTTATGGCAAAGCTGGCCATTTGGGCAAAGAAACTGCCCTTGCCTCAATTGCTGACAGTATACTGTCCAAACTGAACCAGCAGGACACACAAAAAACGTAACTGCCAAACTTTGCCAAGACAAGGTAAAACAGTCCTTCAAAATCCCCTGCTTCTCAGAAAAGTCTGTCAGCTATGCTAGGCCTGTAGGCCAAAGTTGGCTGCCCCAATGTTACAAAAGAATTCTGGGTGACTGTCCAGGTATCCAGATGTCCCTGTTGTTAAGTAACCCTTCTGGGTTTTTTTGATGGAGTTAAAGACTAAATAATTAAACTTATGGTTTTTCTTAGTTATAAAAGGTAAATTAGGTATAAAACCTTAGAGTCACAAAGATAAGGTAGATAATAGATATTTTCTCTAATTTGTAACTATAATTCTTACCTGATAACCTTGTTATATATAGTTTTACTATGTTAAAATTAAAAACCTTCGTTTTCAACTAAACAAAAAGGGGAAATGTTATGGAATAATCCTTCTGTATACTGTGAAAATGTGTTGCTCTCATTGTTTATAAAATCTGATTGGCTGATAGCTAGGCAGGATTTTCAGGGCAGACAGAATGCTGGGAAGCAACAGATATAGAGAGAAGCAAGATGAATGAGCCATGTTGAAAGAAGATACCACCAGCTTGGCAGTGGTGGCACACGCCTTTAATCCCAGCACTCGGGAGGCAGAGGCAGGCAGAGCTCTGTGAGTTTGAGGCCAGCCTGGTCTACAGAGCGAGTTCCAGGATAGGCTCTAAAGCTATACAGAGAAACTCTGTCTTGAAAAACTAATAAATAAATAGAAATGTGTTTTAAAAAAGTAGCACCATGTAGCAAAGGGTAGATAAGAAATTTGCATTAATTTAAAATATAAGAGTTAGCTAGTAATAAGCCTGAGCTATCGGCCAAGCATTTATAATTAATAATAAGTCTCTTGAGTGGTTATTTGGGAATGGCTTCCAGGACACAAAGAAACTCCACCTACAAATGTATGTGCACTGTGTACATGCCTGGAGGTTAGAAGAGGGTGCCCGTTCCCATGGAAATGAAGTTTTGGATAAATGTAAGCTTCCACGTGGGTGCTGGGGCCCTCTGCAAGAGCAGTAAGTGTTCCTAACCAGAGCCCTCTCTCCAGCCCCTAAGAAGGTTTGTTGTTGTTTACAGACATGTTTAGATGTTTTGCCTGCAGAGACCAGACGAGGGCAGTGGATCCCCTGGAACTGGAGTTACTGACAGTTGTGGGACGCCATGTGGGTATGGATAGCTGAGCCATCTTTCCAGCCCCTACAATGGTTTTCAGATTTCTGTTTGTGGTGTGTGTGGATGTGGGGGTGCACACGTACGGAGGACAACCCCTGCTGCGGGGCCTCACCTTCCACCTTGTTTGAGAGAGGGTCTCTCTAGCCATTCACTGCTGTGTATGCCAGGCTAGCTGGCAAGGGAGTTTCAGATGATTCTCCTGCCTGCCTTGCATCTTCTTCTGCTGAGGTTAGTCTGATATTTTACACAGGTCCTGGGAGTCTGAACTCAGGCTGCAGGGCCTGTGGAGCATCCCAAACATGCCTCCAACTCCAGCTCCGAGGGATCTGACTGCCCTCTTCTGGCTTCAATGTGTGCACACAATCACACATGCACACACAAATACATAGAATTTTTAAAATTTTTCAAATGTAAGGGGAGAAATAAAAAGGTGGAAATATTCAAATGTCCACCACCTGGAAAATGCAAAACTCGCGGCACATCTGTGTAGTTGAGTATTCAGTCACCAAAGGAATGAAGCACACACCCATGCAGCTTCCACATGGGTGAGCCTTAGAAACTAGTGGAAGCCAGACACAAAAGGCCAGGCAGTGCAGGGTCCCACTGGGCTCTGGTAGGTGTTACCCCCGGCTTCCCTTTCTGACAGCCTCTCCTCCTGCACCCTGCACTGACCTCTCATCCCATGGGAAGGTCGCTCTCTAGGTCCATCTTTTTTAAAAAACTTGTTTATTCTTATTTTATGTGCACTGGTGTTTGGCCTACATATGTCTGTGTGAGGGTGCTGGATCTGCTGGAACTGGGGTTACACACAGTTGTGAGGTGCCATGTGGGTGCTGGGAACTGAACCTGGGTCCTCTGGAAGAGCAGCCAGTGCTCTTAACCACTGAGCCATCTCTCCAGCCCCTCTGGAAGTTTCTTGTCTCAAATTGTCCTGTTCCTCTCACTCAGCTGTCTACCGCCCTGTTCCCTCTCAGCAGGATACACCTTACCACTCTATGTTCATCCATTTCTTTTCTCTAATTTTTATTCTACATGATTGAGTGTTTTGCCTACATGTGTATCTGCGCACCACTCGCAGGGCTGGTGGTACCCACAGAGGCCAGGAGGCTTTAGATCCCCTGGAACAGGGGTTATAGGCTGCTGTAAGCTCTGAGGACTAGGTCCTCTGGAAGAAGAGCAGCTGCTCTTAATCACTGGCCCTCTCTCCAGCCCCTTTAAACATCCTTAAAGGAACCCTTTGGACCACCATTGGGCCCAGTGCCTCTCCATCAGATACATGCCCTCCGGCCCCTCCATTACAACAGACATCATCCCCTCTATTACAACAGACATCTATCTACTCCTTGGCACGACCACCTGCCTCCCAGTGAAGGCACAGAACATGCGGGCTATACTCATGGCTGTTCCCCTCCCTGAGGAACCACTTACATATGGTTCAAGAAGCATTTCTCCAGTGACAAATACCTAACCAGACGCCCAGGCCAACCAGATGCTTTCCCTCAAGAGAGTCCAGAGGGAACAAAACCGCTCACAGTGGCCCAGGGTCAGACCTAGCTTCCTCTCCCACTACAGGCAGAGAACAGGGTGAGTGGGTGGAGAGTGGACCAGGAAAGGTGAGTGGGTGTGGCAGCGTCTGGGAGAGTGGAGGTCATGCAGAGCCCCGGCTGGAAGAAGGAACGTGAATGAGTGCCCAGCCCTGGAGCTCAGGTTCTGAAGGAGACAATAACAGCATGGGGTAAGCAAAAGAGAGCAGGCAAGCAAAGAGAGCAGGGCCCAATTCCCAGACTCCCAAAGGGACCCTTGAGGCTGGTGCTGGCCTTGTAGAGACCGGGCCCTGCTTGTCTGCTGGGGCTGGGGCTGCCTCCTAGAGCCAGACACCCTCCTAGGGGGCTGGCAATGGGGTGGCTCCTACAGTCTCCAAGTTGAGGCTTGAAAACTACTCCTTCAAGCTTCCTTCTCCCTGAACCAAGACCCAGATTCAGGGCCACAAAAAGGGAGCCCAGTGTCTCCCAGTGAAACCCTGTGTCCCAAGATTGGGAAGCCTTGGAACACCCACGTGCCGGATGTGAGACACGCCAAGTTAGCTACTGGAGTCTCTCACCACGCTGAGGCTCAGGCCCACTGCTGACTCTGGTCTGGTTGTCCTCATCTTCCCAGCTCCTCTCCCCTAACACGCTCTGGAAGCAGGAATTCTAGAAGGGCAGCATGATGCCCACAGGGGGCTACCTATCTCCACAGAAATCTGGGAGTCCCAGGGCTACTGGCCCAATGAGTGGCTGTGAGTCAGAGTGACTCGCACAGGGTTCTCAGGCCCATGGTTGCTTGCTTCCCAGCGGCAAGTGTCCAGCCCTGCCGTCTCTAGCCTTGCCTCAGGCTCTCTGCTACTCTTGGTCAGTGGACCTTCCCGCCTTACCACAGTCGCCAGGCTGGGAATGTGTTTGACTGAGTTCTCCACCTCCTCTTCGGTCACCTCGACCAGAGTGCAGTTCTCGTCCTCCGATGGCAATGGCTCCGCCCCGTGCCTCGTGACCCAAGGGTGCAGCTTCAAGAATGACAGGAGGGGTGAGGGACAGGCGCCACTGGTTCCCACAAGGCCCTGCCAGTGAGCAGTGCCAAGGAGGGCATGCAGGAAGGAGAGGCCAGGGCCTGGGCCAGGCATGCAGGAGAGCCGGTGATGCAGGCAGAGGGTGAGTGAGTGAGAAGGGAGGAAATGAGAACAGGCGGAGACGGAATGGGAGGTGCTGCGGAGCTGTGGTGTGCGCGGACGCAGTTCTCCATCAGAACTTGGTATCAGTCTTGCCCAGCTGCCCCAGGAGCACCCACTGGTCCCCACCAACTCTCCCTGACAACAGATGCTGGGCTCTCAACAAGTGTATTTTCTCATCCCACAGAACAAGGAACAAGGAGCTGTGGAGGGGCCAGATGGAAGGGCGTATTCCCAAGAGCACCCAGGCCCCCTTCCTGAGGTTCAAGTCCTTATCTGGGACTTTTGGACCCTCTTTTTTCTTTCTTTTTTTCCGTTTTTCAAGACAGGGTTTCTCCGTGTACAGTCCTAGCTGTCCTGGAACTTGCTTTGTAGACCAGGCTGGCCTCGAACTTAGAGATCCATCTGTCTCTGCCTCCCGAGTGCTGGGATTAAAGGTGTGCGCCATCATTGCTGGCTCAACTTTTGGACCCTTTTAAAGACACCCTGCCAGTTTAAACGAGCCCGGTACCTCTGAAGCCCGGGAGCATATCTCGAGATGTCTGTCTTTCTTTTTAAAGACATGGAGTCACATATCTCAGGCTGGCCTCTGCCTCACTATGTAGCTGAGGATGACCCTAAACCTCTGGTCCTGCCTCCATACAGCCCCATGCTGTGATTATAGGCATGCACTACCATGTCTAATCTAAACAGTACTAGAAACAGAACCCAGGGTTCCATGAATGCCCGTCAACCATTCTACCGACAGAATGACATCCCCACCCATCTTGGGATTTGTATTTTTAGACGCCAGATGTGTGTATTTGGCATTGACAGGGGCATATGCAGTGGTGGACAACGCCTCTGCTGAAAGCACTTTCTACCACAGGGGTCAACGCAGCAGCTAGAGGCTGAACTGCCCCCTGACTTCCTCCCACCCTCTCTGCAGTTCCTCGAAGGAACTGGGCCCCATCTTTGGCGGGTTCAAAGGAAGGACTTGAGGTTCAGCAGCCAGAACATGGAGCACACAGAGGCCCCAGATCACTCTCTGAGGGCGGACACTATCATCACAAGCTAATGGGAGCAAGCGCAGGCAGGCCAGCTGATGGGTCACAGCTCCCACAGCATCAACACTCCTCCCTGCCCCCAGCAGCACCCAGCAGCCCAGAGGCTCCAGGACACGGGGAGGCAGCGATGCCAGGAGGGTGTGGTGCCGTGGACAGGGCTGAGCCAAACATTTCCAAGCACAGGCCACAGGCCTCAAGTACCAGCCTTCTTAGCGGCAGTCAAGTACCTTGATTTCGGGCACCACAATCCTGGACTCTGGGTTCTTGTCTAGCATTCGGGTGATCAGATCTTTCAAGTCTTCGGCTATATCAGGCCTGGGGGTGGAGACACATCATGGGTAGGTCACAGAAAACTCAGGAAGCTGACCGCTAAGGGATCAGAAGGAGTTGACGGTGGACAGACAGGCTCTACTCACTGGTCTGGAAACTCCAGGGCCTGGCTCTTGATCTTACTGTGCAAACACATGATTCTCTCATCCATGAAAGGACACTGCAGAAAGGCCAGGGAGGACGGTGGTCAGTGGCTGCCACCTGTGTCCTTCAGAGGCCATCTGTGCCGTGCCACTCCTCAGGGACCACAGCAGAGAAATGGACAGTGGTGGCCCAGGCTACAGGAAGCAGGAACCATTGCCCTTCACCCCATCCCGAAACCCGTGAAGGAACAGGAATGTCACGCTGCCCCCCAGCCCTTACCAACTGCACCGCTCACCTGCTTGGTAGCTGACCTTCAGTTTCCCACTGACACAAAAGCAAACACTCCCCCACCTACCCGCCCAGAGAGCAGTAAGGAAGCCGAGACTAACGCAGGTGTGCATGTGTGCGAGCATGCGTGCGTGAGCGATTGTGAGAGTTTAGCCTGGCTCGGGTCCCACGGGAGGCTCTCCGTGACTAGACACTCAACCCACGGTGCCCTCCACCTGGAATGACCTCCCCATCATCAACTGCATGGCTCGTTCTCCCCAGTCACGCCTGACCACAACCACCTGCGTGGCCTCCCCGGGCTTCCCTGCAGCAGACCCACCTCATTCCTGCCAACCACACCATTCCCCAGCTGAGCACCTAACCCTGTCACTACAGTCATTTACTGGTGACTCCTTTCCCCCGGGGCCTCTGGCTCATTCTCAGAATGTCCTTGGCACACAGTAAAGATTTGCTGAACTAATGAAAACTGAAATTGGTTCTCAATTCTCAGGGGTTGTAAAACACATAAGTACTGAACTAGGGGTGCAGCTCGGGGGTAAAATGGCGCTTAGTATGTACAAGGCCCCCGGGTCTGACTGCCAGCTGAAGGGAGCAGGTATGATGATAAATGGATATATGGATACTATAACATAATGGTAAGTTCCAGGTGTCAGGGTTGTGAGTTTTTGCCATAGAATTCTCTCAACTTTATGTTGAGCTGAAAATTGTTCTAAAGATGTACTTTTTTATTTTATGTCTGCACATGAGTATGTGCCACTTGGATGCAATGCCCGTAGAGACCAGTAGAGAGAGTAAGATTCCCCAAAACTGGAGTTTCAGCCCTTTATGAGCAGCCATGTGGGAGCTGGGAACTAAACCAGGGTGCTCTGTACCAGCAGGCAGTGCTCTTAACTGCTAGGCCATCTCACTAGCTCCAAGAAAAATTTTCTTAATAAATACTCAAAAAAATAGTTTAAAAAAACCCAAAAATTATTTTACTTCTACATAGACCAAGATTTTTTTCCTTCCTTTTTTTGCTTCTGATTTTGTTTTTTGTTTTGTTTTTGTTTTTGTTTTTTTTTTTGAGACAGGGTTTCTCCATGTAGCCATGGCTGTCCTGTAACTCGCTCTGTAGACCAGGCTGGCCTTGAACTCAGAAATCCACCTGCCTCGGCCAGGCTATGGTGGCGCACACCTTTAATCCCAGCACTTGTGAGACAGAGGCAGGAGGATCTCTGTAAGTTCGAGGCCGGGCTGGACTGACAGCCTCCAAAACAATACAGAGAAACCCTGTTTCTAAAAACCAAAAAAAAAAAAAAAAAAGAAATCCACCTGCCTCTGTATATGCCTGGTTTTGAAACAAGACCCTTAAAGTCGCCTCCACGGGGACACAAACTCCAAACAGGAAGGAGCCATGCTTGTATTGCTCGCAGAGTCAAACCAGACTTTATGGTTAAAAGAGCTGCCTTGCCTGGTGTGGTGGAGCACACCTGTTATCCCAGCACCCTGGAGCCAGAGGGTCTCTGAGTTCAAGGCCAGCCTGGTCTACATAGCAAGTTCCAGGACAGCTGGAGCTACAGAGAGAAACTCTGTCTCAGGAAAAAAAAAAGGTGCCTCTGAACATGAATAATGTTGAGACAGTAGAAAAAAGACTACATCAAGAAGTTAAACACCACTCCCTAAGTCAATAGTGCCCTGTGAACTATGATTCCCATTCTGTCCCCAGCAATAGCGGCTAGGCACACTCTGATGAAAAGGACGTCAAACCAGTACTAAGTAAGGCTGAGAAGAATGCAGAGGTAGAGTATTTGTTGTCCTTGCCCTAAACTCATCAACTACCTAGAATCTCCACACAGCCTCTGTTGATCTTTCTGTTTCATTCAAACATTTTTATACAAATGAGAATATCATCAAAGATAAGGATATTACAAAGGATCTATTTTAACTATTCATTCAGCTGTGGAGATACAATTTGCAAATGAGAACCGTCTCCTTGCAAGGGAAGTAGCCATCCACATCAGTCACAAGACAGGACATGCCGCCCTCTTACCTGACCAAAGACAAAACAGTACAGTGTCACACCCATGGCCCAAACATCCAAGGCCTGCAAGAAAAAGAAACACTAGTGTGATGTACTACAGCTATGCTTACAGGTCCAACAACTAAGTCTCCAACCTCCTTGGGGAGCCTCCTCCTCCTCCTCCTCCTCCTCCTCCTCCTCTTCCTCCTCCTCTTGCTCTTCCTCCTCCTCCTCCTTCTCTTCTTTTTTGTTTGTTTGTTCATTTTTCAAGACAGAGTTTCTCTGTATACCTGCTCTGGCTGACCTGGAACCTGCTTTGTAGACCAGGCTGGCCTTGAACACACAGAGATCCACCTGCCTCTCCCTCTAGAGTGCTAGGAATAAAGGCTAAACCACCTTTTCTTAATCCACACTCTTGGGCTGAAGTAAGCCCTGTCCCCTGGCCTCCTTGGTTGGGACATGACGCACTGGCACAGCCACTGAAATCACAACTCCACCAGTCACAGAGGTGGGTCACAGTTTCCCTGCAGTTGCTATCCAGAGAGGAAAGCCTGGCTCCTGAAGTTGACTCTCTGATGGACAGCAGCCCGCAAGTCCTGGTGCCTGACCCACATGCAGAGAAACCAGTCTGGGAGACACCGACCCTTGTTTGAGTTCCTGCATGATTCATCAGCTACCTGCCCAGTGGGCTTGCTCTCTGTACATCTCTTGTATTGGATTTTTACTACTTTGAACCAAAGGACTCTGATGCAGGCAGAGCTGAGCAGATCCACACCTACCTTCCCAGAGAAGATCTTGCGGGTCTCTGAGAGCGACTCAGGTGCCATGAAGGCAGGTGTGCCCACGGTGTTAGACAGCAAGGCATCGCTGCCCTTGAACTCATTGCTCACACCAAAGTCTGCTATCTTGATGTGCCCGTCTTCCCCCACCAGGAGGTTGGAAGGCTTGATGTCCCGGTGGATGATCTTCTGGTAGTGTACTAGATGGAGAGGCACCAATGGAAGAGAGGGGGCAGGGAAACCCCATGAGAATCTCCACTTGGCCATGCAGCCCAGCCTCATCTCCCAAGCTCGATCCCCTCCCCAAACACGCTCTGTGTTTAAGGATGTTTCTCAGAACACCAGCCGTCTACAGAGATTTTGAACCACCTGTCACAGCCCAGCAGAGAAGTGAAATGCTTTCCGTTTCCCGCCCACTACCTGGGGTGCTAGCTATCCCAGAGGCGAGCAGCTGCCCCACGGGCATGGCTTACAATACTCAATGCCTTTGATCAGATCCTGGAAGTAGAATCGGGCCTGGTCTTCGGATAGTGGCTTCAGGGTAGGCACTTCCATCACAGGCCTGAAAGGTTGACACGTGTGTCACTCATGTGAAGCAGATCCAGCTAGCGCTGGCCCACTATCCCCCTCAGAGCCCAGCTCCCCTCACTCAGCTTTCAGATGAAGCCTGGCATAGCACCTGGGAGACGGATACTCACCCTTGGTTGACCAATTCAAACACTGTGGAGAAGAGAAGGAGGTAAAACTGTCACCTTGCGACACTGGAAATCCGCCTCCCTCCTCCTCATCCACCCCACCCCCAGCTACCTCTCTAGACTGTCCGAGCACAGAAATGAATCCTAGGAGGACTAAGGAGACACACACAGTCTACTGAACCAAAGCTGCTTGGTATTACCAGGTGCTGCTGAGGAGGCAAAGTACCTCCTGATAGCCATGGGACCCTACACCTGGACTTTATTTCTAGAACTCAAAATAGCCAAGGAAAGCTGTACCCAGTGGTACAGAATCCCCATTATACAAGAGGCTAAGGCAGGGGGATCACAAATTCAATGTCATCCTGGGCTACAGGGTGAGTTCAAGACTAGACTAGGCCAACTCAGTGAGCTCCTGTATCAAAAAGCAAAGGGTGGGGGCTGAAGATATAGACAATGATTTACTGCTTGACTAGCATACATTAGGCCCTGGGTTTGAGTCCCAAGAATGAAGACCACACATGAGTGTACTCATGCATGCACACACTCTCTCTCCCTTTCTGTCTCTCTGCCTCTGTCTCTCTCTTACACACACACACACACACACACACACACACACACACACACACACAGTCAAGGGTGCAAGAAGGAAAATAAAGCTGGGGGACAGGAAGTAAGTACTCTGAGCTGTAGTTTCAACTAATTTGTACTGTTTTTAATTATAGGTACTATGTGGGTCTGTGTACATGCATGCAGGTGCCCTTGGAGGCCAGAGGCGTCATAGTTCCCTAGCTCTAGAGTTATAGGCACTATGAACCACCCACCATGCATTCTAGGAACTCAATGTGGATACTCTACAAGAACAGTTCGTGCTTTCTTCTCAGTTTCTTGTTTTGTTTTATGACAAAGTCTGACTATGTAGCCCTAGTTGGCTTAGAGCTTGCTAAGTTGACAGAGATGTGGCTGTCTCTGCCTCCCAAGTGCAGAGATTAAAGGTGTGTACCAGCAGGCCTGGCTTTCTTTCTTTCTTTTTTTTTTTTAGGCTTATTTTTATTTGTTGTCTGTGGTAGTCTAAAGGAACATGGCCCCCACTGGCCCACAGTGAGTGGCACTGTTAGAAGGTGTGGCTTGGTTAAAAGAAGTGTGTTATGGGGTAGGCTTTGGGGTCTCAGATGCACAAGCCAGGCCCAGTGTCATTCTCTCTTCCTGCTGCCTGCCAATCCAGATGTAGGACTCGGCTACCTCTCCATCACCATGTCTGTCTTCCCACCGTGATGTCAGTGGACTGCAAGCCAGCCCCAGTTAAATGTTGCCATGGTCGTGGTGTCTCTTCACAGCAATAGAGCACTAAGACACCGTCTATACGCGTGCCTGCCTGAATTTATGTGCACTGTTTGTGCAAGAGTCTATGGAGGCCAGCAAGCATCAGATCATCTGAAATTGGAGTTTAGAGGTGCTTAGGAGTCACCAGACATGGGTGCTGAGGGCCAAACCTGGGTCCCCTGACTGAGCCATGTCTCCAGCACCCGCTTTTCTTTGACTTTCTAGAAATACAGATGTTCTCACCCTTTGAGCGCTTGGCCTGCTGGCAAAGACTCTTGCTGACACTGCCCATCCTCTGTCCTTAACACACATGGCCGTGGTCGTAAAGTGTACAGATCCCCATCCTACTTCATCAACCCAGATCTCCCAGCTTCTCTTTTATTTTCTTTCTGTGTAGTGCTGTTAGCTTCGACGCCTTTGCGTGACACTTAGGTGGCTGCTCTGAGAACGTTTGAGATGTTTCCAGAGAAACGTAGAAGGGGGCATGAATACTGAAGTATTAACTCAGGGTGAGAAAATTACTCTAGGAATACCATTCTGGGCCCAAACAGTTTTTCAAGTTTTCTAATTTCTGCTGTACTTCCTTAGATTTCACTCACTTCTTACCATGTCTTCCATTTGGCTCTATCTATAAACCACATAAATTAGCATTTATTTAATGTTTTCTTTTTTAAGTATTTTCATATTTCCATACCCCAACACACACACACACACACACACACACACACACACACGCAGGGGGTGTTGGGAACTGAATCGAGAATCCAGACCTTGCACATCTGGGGCAAACATACTACCATTGAGCTATATTTCTCTCATGTTTTTCTTTAAAGTGACTTGTTTCTAATTCTTTTTATTTTCCCCTTCCTTTTTGACACAGGGTCTCGCTATGCACCCTCTGGCTGGCCTGAAACTTGTTCTGTAGACCAGGCTGGCCTGGAACTCACAGAGATAGGTCCTCCTGCCTCTGCCTCCTATGTGCTAGGATTAAAAGCATTTATAAACGAGGTCTTTGAGGACATTTGTCTGAGTAGCACCCAGGTTTCTGAGTGCCCCACCAGGTTCTAAATACCCTACCATGGCCTCCCAAACTCATCATTCCTACCCCTCACTCTCCTCCCTATTTATCGACCACTACCCTTTTTTTTTAAAGTTCTTAAAGCCTCGGGGTCTTTCCACCTGACCTTCCATCTGCTTCTTAGCCGCCCTCTCCAGATGTAACACAGCCAACACCTTGACAGGTGTGGAATGGTCATCTCCTACATGAAGTGGTTTGTCCACTTTCCCTGACATCACCTAACTAATTACCCTTAGCATGTCTAACGTTCTCATTTATTTATCAACACTATCTTTTCTGTCTGGGATATTGGCTGTTAAGGTCTCTTTCTTACCACACTACCCTCAGTGCCTGGAACAGTTCTGAGTATACCAGAGGAGCTCAATAAAGAGCTGCAAACAAAGACACAGGAGACCCAGATGTGAAAAGTCCCAGCAAGAACTCCCTCCCACCCCCTGCTTTAAGCCAGGTGTGTGGGCTTCTGTGGGGCCTAACTAGACCAGGGACGAGGAACCTGTCCTCTGCAGCTATCCGAGAGGACAACTGGGCCTTGGCAAATGCGGCTACCTCAGTGTGGACAAAGGGAAGCATTCTTACCCATGTACAAATGGTCCTCATTGGGGTCATCCAGGACCTGATGGCACAGCCGCCCAACGACAGGAGCAAGGAGAGAAAGAACAGGTGTGAGCAGGAGAGAGTACAAGTGTGTGATGCTGTGTGCCCACAGGAAGGGGAGGGGCGCTTCCCACCCTTCTTCTTAGCCAGGGTGGGTGTGCCCACAGGAAGGGGAGGGGCGCTTCCCACCCTTCTTCTTAGCCAGGGTGGGTGTGCCCACAGGAAGGAAGGGGCGCTTCCCACCCTTCTTCTTAGCCAGGGTGGAAGACAGAAATTCCCGGAGTGTGACAGCCGAGTCCACCTGTCCTCAAGTCAGCCCTCAAGGCCGGGGACAGACACCCTGAAGAACAGCAGGAGAAGTAGATCCTCCCCAGAAATGCCCCACACTCAATACCAGTCCAGCCCATCTCCTAAAACACATGTCCTGGCTTCAGGGTGAAAGTTAGCCCCTACTTGAACTCAAGCAGCCCCTCCACCTCAGCATGACATGTCTTCATGCCTGCTCCTGTTTGTCCAATAGGCAGGTCCCAAGCTTGTCCACCTTGATTGTCTTGGTGATGTCTACATGTGCTGGGCACATAGTAGGTACCCAAGAAACACCTGATATATAAGCAAACAGACTGGCTGTGTGGTCTTGCTGAGTTGGGTGGAAAAATCGGATACTTGGGGTACTGGGGAGAAAAGTAATCCCACTTGGACTCAGGGCAACCTGCAGACCAGGCACCCCAGGGCTTCCGCTAACACGGTCAACTCCAGCATTGGAGAATTGAGATCAGGATCGCAGCATGGCATTAGGAAAGAGGGTAACAGCTTGTATCTACTCTCTCTTTTTGGGGGGAGGCATAGGCAAGATCCCTGGTTAGTCTAGGCCTCCTATCTCTTCCACAGAGCCCACCTTCCCCAGTCACCCAAGATGTACAAGACTGTAGACACAGCTGGGAAACCCATCTCAAGGGCAAGTTAGACCCAGGGTCCACCTAGAGTCCTGTAGCCATGGGCCCAAGGCAAGGATTGGCAATAGTAGCCCCTTATCCCAAAGGCAAGGATATGTTCCCCAAATATGGATGCTCTGGGCCCTTACACATGATGCCCATTTCCCTGAAATGTCCTCTGTTGTCTTTGCTGACCAGGAAATAGCTACGGCCACTTCAACGATCCCTTTCTCCACAAAGTCTTCCATGCCCCTTTCAGATAGCCAAGACCCTCCTTTACCAGGTCAGTAACAAGCTGAGTCAGAGGTGCTCCAGATTGGATCTGGACATCCTGGGGATCCCCAAATCACCTCCAAGGGGGCTATGAGATGAAACTATCTTTACTTTAAGACTAAGAGAACACTGGCCTTTCCTACTCTTTCTCTACTTGTATCCAGTGTCCAGAAGCCACAAAATAGTATCACAGCAGGCTGAAGGACAAAGCAGATAGAGAATCCAGACACCTTTTTTGTTTCGATACAGAGTTCTCTGTATTACTTTAGAGGCTGTCCTGGAACTCACACTAGAGACCGGGGTGGCCTTGAACTCACAGAGATCCACCTGCCTCTGCCTCCCGAGTGCTGGGATTAAAGGTGTGCGCCACCACCACCCGGCCCAGATACCTTTTAGTAAACCAAATGTTAGCAAAAAGAAAAAGAAAAAACAAAACAAAACAGCAGCAGCAGCAACCACCACACCGTAAAAGTATAAAAATACATCCTTTTTCCTTGTTTTGTTTGTTTGTTTGTTTGTTTGTTTGTTTGTTTGAGAGAGCAGAAGACTCGGTCAGTAAAGTGCTTGCTTTACAAACACAAGGACTTTAGTCCCCAGAGCCCATGTAAGAAAGATGGTGAGGGTTGGAGAGATGACTCAGGGGTTAAGAGCATGTATCACTCTTGCAGAAGACAAAGTTCCGTTTCCAGCACTTACATCACACAGCTCACAACCACCTCTAATTCCAGTTCCAGGGGATCTGACGCCTCTGGCATCAGCAAATACATGCACATACCCCCATCACATACACATAATAAATCTTTTTTTTTTAAGTGAAGCATGGTGGAACATGCTTATAATCCCAGTGCTGAGGAGACAGAGAGGCGGATGCCTAGAGATTGCTGGCCAGACAGCCTAGTCTGGTTGGTGAACTCTAGGCCAGTGAGAGACCCTGCCTCAAATAAACAAAGTAGACAACACTTCCTGAGGATAGACACCCAGGACTGACTTCTGTTCTTCACAAGCATGTGCACACACGTACACTCACCTATGAAAATACACTCATGCACACACACAAACAAAATAGTTACTATTCATAAAAAAATATTATTCTTGTTGGGTGGTGGTGGCATGTATCTTTAATCCCAGCACTCAGGAGGCAGAGGCAGGCAGATCTCTGAGATTGAGGCCAGCCTGGTCTACAGAGTGAGTTCCAGGACAACAAGGGCTACACAGAGAAACCCTGTCTCAAAACCAAACCAAACAAACAATGAAAAAACCTCTTTATCACATATAATAATAGGGTTATTGTTTTCCAATGAATAAAATTTTGTCAATTTACTTTTTTTGTTTTGAGACAGGATCGCTTGTAACCCAGGCTGACCTTGAACTTGTGGTTTTCTTGCCTCCACCTCTCAAGCATTGGGATTACAGGTATGCACCACCACGTCCACCTCTGGTTTATATTTTAATGGGCTACATACTAATAAATCTAACCAATGTGAACATCAGCATACCGAGGCCTGCTAAAGTCAAATACAGTATGTCCCTTACAGGCTCATGTGTGGAAGGCCAGTCCCCAACTGGTTTATTGTTCTGGGTAGTAGTAGAGCTAGGTGAATTCAAAGGCATGCACCTTAAAGATATATATCTCCTCCCTGGCCACTGTATTTCTGCTTTGCCTCGGGCTTAACACAAAGAAATCAGCTGAACATGAACATGAACTGGAAATAGTCTTGAGCTGAAATCAATCTTTCTTCCTATTAAGTTGTTTTTCTAGGGATTTGTTACAATGACTAAAAGCTAACACAGAGTTTTCCAGAATTTGAAACACATCAAGCCATCTTGAGACAAAAAAAAAAAAAAAAGAACCACTAAGCTGAAGCAAAGGTTTGCTAAATATAGTACGGGCTAAACCCGGGCCAGCCAGTGTTTATAAATGAAGGTTTACTGGAGCACAGGCATGAGTTCTTACGGTTTTGTCTGTTTGTTTTTGAGACGGGGTCTTGCTATGTAGCTCTGGCTGGCCTGGAATCTATTGTATCTACCATTCATTATATCAAAGCCACACAGACTAGACTCCCTCTTGCCTTTTGAGTGCTGGGATTAAAAGTGCCCCAGTGCACCCAGAACTGCTGTTTTGCTTTGTTTAAATTACTATTGTTGTTGCTGTTACTATCTTGTGTGTGTTTACACCACCACAGTACACATGTGGAAGCCAGAGGACAACTTTATGGAGTTAATTCCCCTTCTGGGGACCAAACTCAGACCGTCAGGCATCAAGTGCCTTTGCCCACTGAGCTGGTTGTATGTGTAGCTACTACTTTTTTTTCTTCTTCTTCATGATTTTGTGTTATCATCCTTGCACAGGGGCCATGTTAATTTTCTCTGTATTGTTCTAATTTTTTTAACTATATGTGCTGCTGAAGCAAACACGTGTAGCTACTTCAATGTTCCAAATACATTCATGGATAGTGGAAAGACTGCCAGCTTCAAAGAGAAAGAAGTAGGTAAAGGGCAAGCCTCAGAACTCTCAGCCTCAACTTTTGCATCTATAAAATGGGAGCGATAAGCAGTCTCAAGAAGTGACAGTAACATGAAGTAATAGTGCAAGGGTGTGTGAGGCAACAAGTCTCTCAGTCTCGAGGCAGCTGTCTACTGTGACTTGACCCTCTAGGGATCTTAGCAATGAGGTGTTTAAATATTAACAAAGCCAAGGCTAGACCATGAGTCTCACCCGCCCCCCTCACCTCCACCAGCTTCACCACATTGGGGTGGTCCAGCTTCTTGAGGATGGCGATTTCCTGGTACACCTGCTCGATGGGGCCCCTGGGCTGGATGCAGCCCCCTGGAGCTGGGCGAGTCCCTCGAGGTGGGGGGCGACCTGCAGGGAGCACAGAGTTAGGCAAAGACCTGCTGCAGAGGGCAGCTGCTTCTGGGAGCCGGGAGCAGCCTTCTCTTCACGCTTCCCCCGTGACGGAAATCAGGGAGCTGGTGTCCCTGAACCTTCTCTTCACCCAGTCAATCCCTTTTTCCTGTCACATGCTCAACCCAAAGTGACCAAGGCACACCGAGGATACTGGTCTGGTTCTCAACATCCCAGAAAAGTGGCTGGGGGTTTAGCTTAGTGAGTAGAGCACTTGCCTAGTGCACACCAAGTCCTGGGATGGACCCCGCCCCCAGTACTACATAAAACAGGATGTGGAGATGCACCACTGAAATCTTAGCACTTGGGAGGCAGAGGAAGATTAGAAGTTCAAGGTCACCCTTGACTACATAGAAAGTACAAGAACAGTCTAAGTTACATAAGAAGCTATCTGGAAACAAAAAACAGTCGGGCAGTAGTGGCACACACCTTTAATCCCAGCGTTTAGGAGGCAAAGACATCTCTGTGAGTTTGAGGCCAGCCTGGTCTACAGAGCGAGTTCCAGGACAGGCTCCAAAGCTACAGAGAAACCCTATCTCGAAAAACCAAAAAAAGTAAACAAACAAACAAAAAGCCAAACCCTCATATAAATCTATCGCTTCTCCTCTTTGGAATTCAGTGTGCCCACTGGATACAGCAGATGTAAACATTATTTCTCTCCTCGATGCAGGAAATGAGTCAATGAGAGAAACACGAGATGACTACACCAGGATGGAGCGTTACTCAGAGTTGTAAGAATCTGAAGACCACTGGTCAGTGGTGGTGCACACCTTTAATCCCAGCACTTGGGAGGCAGAGGCAGGAGGATCTCCTGTGAGTTCGAGACCAGCCTGGTCTACAGAGTGAGTGCCAGGACAGCCAGGGCTACACAGAGAAACCCCCGTCTCAAAAACCCAAGAAAAAAAAAAAAAAAGAATGTGAAGACCAGTTGTCAGAACTGCTGTATCACACACCCTGTGTGAAGAAGCCTGGAAGGGTGATAAGCAGAACAGAATGCAGCTGTGACTAAGCCAGGGCAAGGAAAACGTACAACACAGGTTCGGTTGCTGCAAAGGGTGTGCAAGCAAAGGGCGCTGTGCTTAGCCACGGCCAGTAAAGTGACGGGGCGGGGGCGGGGCGGGGGCCGGGCGAGAGCGTGTGGAGCCCATCTCTCAGCCATCACTCTGAAGGCAGGAGGAGCCATAGCTTGAGGCCGGCTTTGTCTCAAAAACAAAAGTGAGGGCCAGACACGGTGACAGCTGGGATTACAGGTGACTGCCACGCTCACCTGCAGCCCAGTTTTATGTGGGTTCTGGGAATCCATCTTAACACTTACACAGCAAGCTCTTTATCTCGAGCTATTGCCCCAACTCCCGGTATCATTTTATTTGTTGTTGAGGCAAGTCTTGCTCTCCTGAAGTTTATGTAGACCAGGCTAGCCTTGGATTCACAGACCCACCTACTTTTGCCTGCCATATGTGGGCTTAAGAAGTGCACTACTGTGTCAGGCCCATTTTAAATGTGTGGGGTTTTGTTTGTTTGATTTTTTTGAGACAAGGTTTTTCTGTGTAACCCTAGCTGTCCTGGCACTCACTCTGTAGACCAGGCTGACCTCAATAAACAGAGATCCACCTGCCTCTGCCTCCTGAGTGCTGGGACTAAAGACATGCATGGCAACCACTCAGCTGGTTTTCTTTTCTTTTCTTTTTTTAATTTTTCTTTTTCATGTGTGTGCTTTTACAAAACAGGGTCCCATGCAGCTGGGGCTGGCCTTGTATCCTGATTCTCCTCCCTTCACTTTCCTGAGTGCTAGGGCTACAATCACGTGTTCTGTACCTGCTGATTAGTTTAGTAGTTTTTAGTGCCATCACCACCAGATAACTATGGAACAGTTTTGTTGCTCTTTCCAAATCTGATTCCTCCTCCTGCTAATCTACCTTTTTTCCTCATTGATTTGCCTATTATTGATATTTTATATAAACGGCATTATATAGTAAATGACTTTTTGAGTCTGGTCTCTTTTAGTTAGCATGCTTTCAACCAAGTAATTATCAAAAATCAGTTCTCTATTGTGGCTGGATACTAATCTACCAGATACACATACATTTTATTTACTCATTGGTTCATGGCCACTAGGGATGTTTCCACTCAGTGGATAATGCACAAACTTTGTTTCTTTTTCTTTCTCTTGGCTACTAGAGAGAAGTTTCTGGGTCCTAAGGGGTGGTGACTAATGTCGTTAACTAGGAAGAATCTAGAGTCACCTGAGAGACGGCCTCTGGGAGGTTATTTTGATTGCATTAACTGAGGTGGAAAGATGTACTGGTGGCGCCAGCCCCTGGCCGGGATCCTGCACTTTGTCAGTGGAGAAAAGGTGCTAAACACTGGTGTCCATTCTTCTCTGTTTCCTGACTGTGGACACAGTATGACCAGCTGCCACAAGCTCCTGCCTCTCCGACACCCCAAAGAGGAGCCAAAGTAAAGGACTTTACCCTAACGTTGGTTTTACCAGTCTTTTGTCAGAACACCAGGGAAAGAAACTAAGACACGTGGCAAGCTTTTTATTTATTTTGTTCATGGCCATTTTCGGTTTTTTATTTATTATTTATTTTGGCACGTATAAGCCACAGAATGAATGTCAGTGTCAGAGGGCAACTCGTAGGAGTCGCTTCTCTACTACCCTGTGGGCCCTGGGTATCAACCTCAAGACCATCGTGATTTGGTGGCAAGAGCATTTACTGCTGAGCCATCTGCCAAGCCCTCGAATTCAGCTTTTAAACTCTTAAAACTAATTAGGACCCAGAGCAGGAAGTTCAGCTGGGCTCTCAGGGGATGTGGTGTCTTCCCCGAGTGTCTGCTGGACATCACATTCACCGGCTCTGTCTGATCTCGCCTCAGCCCCCACACCTCAGAACAAAGCCCACCACACTCACGTGGAAAACCAGCCTGTCGGATCAGCTTCTTTTTGGACAGCACTTTCATCGCCTGCAGAAGGAAAGACCCCCGAGGCCAGTTAAAGGCAGCAGGGAGGGAGACGACATGCTCTCTCCTCGCCAAGCCTCTCACTGAGCTCCCGGGTCGAGGGGCCTCAGGCCAAGGCAGTGAGAGCCTGGTCACCAGCAGAGCAAGCTGGTACTGGGTGAGTTGTGTGAGTGGCATCCCTGGAGGTTCCTGGTCAGCTGGGAACCCCTGAAATCATGGCTCCTGCCACTGCATCAGTCAATGGGCCTACACTGGACTGACTCCAAAGCCTCAGCTACAAGGGCACTGTGTCCATCTACTGCCTTGTTCTTGGGGCTATTGAAGAGGCAGGAAGAGCAGCTCAGAGCTAGGGTATGAATGACACTTGCTAGGCCAATCCCTCCCCTGCCCCATCTTCCCATCTGTAAAACGGGGGCATCGCCTCCTCCCAAACAACCTAAGAGCAGAAAGGGAGAACAAGCACGCAAACCGGGCTTGAAGCTTTCCTTTGGACGGGGTGTGGACACTCACGTAGTAGGTGTTGTCATTTTCGTTGTAGGCCAGCTTGACCACACCGTAGGAGCCCTGGATAAAGAGAGATGCCTGTGACATAGTGAGCTCTGGCAGGCTACAGACTGCAGCTCACTGGGGAAATGGACCCCGAGATTCCATTCTGTTAGACTTACCATTTTTCACAGTCTAAATCAGCTGTTAACATGTAAATGAGAAAAACATAAAAACCCAGGTTTGAAAAACCTGGAAAAGTCTGGCCATGCAAAAACAGTTTATCACCCACCCCACCCTCATACCTAGCCTGCTTCGCTCAAGGAGTCTCACTCCATAGCTTAACAGTTAGCTTCAGCCTTCACTACTCCCTATGGTCTTACAGTTAGCACACCCTTGGCCAGTGATATTACTAACTTATCTTCTGTTAGCATTTAAGTTTTTAGCTCCTGCAATGATACTAACAAAGACCAGCAAAAGGGCTGGAGAGATGGCTCAGGGGTTAAGAGCACTGGCTGCTCTTCCAGAGGTCCTAGGTTCAATTCCCAGCACCAACATGGTGGCTACTCCTGTCTGTAACTCCGGTTCCAGGGGACTCAATACCCATGGCAAAACATCAATGCATGTTTAAAAACAAAACAAAACAAAAAACCCACAGAAGCCCAAGTCTCTTGATTGAGGGTGGGCACCATTAATGAGATGGGGACTATCACCATAGCAATTTAAGATTTCTTTGGAAGTTTTCAGAACTTTTGCAGAAACACATCTAATTTTAACATATTTAAAAAAAAATAAGGTTAGGTGTGGTTGGCACACTTTTAGTCCCAGTTCTTGGGAGGCAGAGGCAGGTGGTTCTCTGTGAGTCTGAGGCCATCTTGGTTTACACAGTGTTGGGGGACCAAATGTTATTTCTCAGAAATATGCTCAGCCCAGCCAAGAATTCTAGGAACTCAGAACTCCTACCATCTTTCAAATGCAGGCTGGCCCCAGTGGGGAATGGCTCCTAGTTTGTATAACAAAAGACCTAGGCCTGGGTAAGCTTATGGCCACCCTGAAGGCTAGTGAGTATGTGCAGTTTAGGAGTGTCTCTAGGATTAAAGGACATATTTGATATCCGCTCTATACACGATAATAGATGTCTTCTGTCAGTACCCCCGCTTTTGGGAGGTTATTTAAGGTGATGCTGGAATAAATCCTGGTATCTAGGATTGACTGAGAGCCCTCCTGAGATGACCAGATGTCTCTGTCTTGTTCCTAATGTCATTGGATAGCTAAGCTTTCCTTCATCCACACTCCCTCACTCAGGGTCAGACCTGGGGCTGTTCAACTGGTTCCCATTACAGCCCCAAAGAAATCAGTCCGGAATAAATGGCCCTTGCAGTATAAGACGGATACAGGCCGGACCCCGGCAACACGGTGAGTCCTAGACTAGCCAGGACTACATAGTGAGACCATGTCTCAAAAAGGTATTTTTAAAAATAAGGCTGGAACTGGGCGGTGGTGGTACACGCCTTTAATCCCAGCACTTGGGAGGCAGAGGCAGGCGGATCTCTGTGAGTTCGAGGCCGGGCTGGTCCGACAGCCTCCAAAACAATACAGAGAAACCCTGTCTCGTAAAAACCAAAAAATAAATAAATAAACAAATAAAAATAAAAATAAGGCTGGCGAGATGGGTCACTGTGTAAAATGCTGAGCACACAACAGGAGTTCAGATCCCCAGCATGGACACAAAGGTTTGTGGTAGCGCTGGGTGGGGGTGGGCAGCAACAGAATGACTAGGGCTTGGCGGCTAGTCGTTCAGAATCTATGCGCTTACAGTTCAGTGCGAGAACATGTCTCAAAGAATAAGGTGGAAAGGTACTGAGGGAAGACATCTGATATCAACCTGATATCACACACACACACACACACACACACACACGCACGCACGCACGCACACACAGTCATGCACACACAACTATGAACGGCAAATCCTTTCACCCCATCAGCCTGGCCTCCAAAAGTCCTCTCCTATTCCCACCCAGCTCTGCTGGTTCTCTCTAGAGTGTTAGGGACATCCCTGGTCAGTTACAAAGGTGACCCAGCTCCTAGGACACTTACCTTTCCAATTTCATCCTTCAGCGTATACTGATTCAGCTGCACACAGTCCTGGAAAGCAAGGGAGGGCACAGATGAGATGACTCTCACAGGAGCTGAAGACACATATGCCACAAACAAATGTATACACGGAACCAGGACGTGGGTTCACAGAGAGTTCCAGCAGTTGGGAGGCTGAGGCAGGAAAATCCAGACTTCAAGGCCAGCATTGGCAACTTACCAAGTCTGAAGGATACGAGACCCTGTTTCAAAAACCAAAACAATAATGACTACAAAATTGAGAAACTTCCCCACCATGCCACCAAAAACCAAGAGTTCATACTGGAACGGGGAGATGGCTTGGGTGGTGACGTGCTTGCTAGACAAGCATGAGGACCTGAATTTGATCCTGAGAACCTGTAGGTATGGTGGCACACACCTGTAGTCCCAGCAGTGCCGAGGAGGGGACACAGGATCCCTGGTGCTCACTGGCCAGTCAACCTAACCAACAAACTCTAGGTCCCGGCCACAAGTTTTTTTAAAGGCGGATAAGTGGTCAATAATCATGAGAAGTCACTGAGGAAAAACAGTGAAAGCCACACCAGGCAGCTAATGGGGAGAAAGCAGGGCTCACACACTTCCCACATGGCAGCCAGGACAGAGAGTGGACAAACAGGCAGCGTCTTATCTACTCCAGGCTGGCCTCAAACCTGATATTTAGAGCCAGAGTGTGGTGGTGCATGCCTTTAATCCTAGCACTGGGGAGGCAGAGGCAGGCGATCTGTGATTTCTGTCCGCATGGTCTACACAGAGAGTACTAGGACAGCCTGGGCTACATAGATACATAAACCCTGCCTATTAATTAATTAACTAATATAAAAGAGTTTGAACACAGGTTGCCTTTTGTGGTGGACAACACCTACCCCAGAAGTCCTGGGTTACTGAATGGAAATCTCAGTGCTATCTCCCTACAAGGTACAGATCAGAGAGGCCCCAGAGCCCCCTAGAACAACATGGTAAAACTACTGCTGAAGACACAACACGCCTCGGTCAAAAACAGCGAAACCAAGCTAGAACTTCGGCCCTACTGCCTAGCTTTCACAGTACCTGAAGAAGCCATGCAGGCCACCGGAGAAGGAAAGTCATCCATCGATGGTGTCACCCAACAGCAAATCCTGTCTGCTAAAACCCTGGCCTGCTAGGCAAGATGCGCCCACGGTGGCACAGAAGTTATGAGGGGAACAAGACACTCTCTGATGGGATTTGAGGGACTCCACGGGAGGGAATTCAAGCTTGGTATTGTAAAGCTGGCCACAGCTGCAGAGGGAGGAGGGTCATAAGCCCTATGAGGGAACCCTACTACGGCTGTTTTGTTAAACGACGTGCTGTTGGACTATCTCCTAATATTTGTGTTTGTACATTAGTGCCCTTCTCAGCCTTGGCCAGAGACTCGCCTCTCGGCGGTGGTCAGCAGTTGACGCAGAGACTCATAACTAGTCCAAGTGCTGAGAATAAGTGCCTGTTGAGAGTGAGAGCTCAGCCCTAAATGGGACATCCACGTTGCCCCTCTCCACCAAGGCTCAGAGAGCATCTCAAAGGGGAGAGAAAACAATGTAACACCCAGAGGATAGGGAGGACTGCTGTGAAATGCCATTGTGTTCATGAACCATCTGCAGCTATGGTTACTCCCACAAGATCAATCCAACAGCATTCCAAAAGGCAGCACTAACTGGACTTAATGGGTTACCAAAAAAAGGAGAGTCATGAAGGGGACGGGGACATGTTAAAAGTGGACAGAAGGGACAGATGCTGGGTGGATAAGATTAAATTACAGTGTTGACATGTATGGACTGTCAAAGAATAAATAAAGGACACCCTGTTAGAAAAACCAGATACTGGGCTGAAGAGATAGCTCGGTGGTTAAGAGTACTAGTTGCTCTTCCAGAGGATCCAGGTTTAATTCCCACCACCTACATGGCAACTCATAGTCTGTAACTCTAGTTCCAGGGGATCCAACACCTTCACACAGACTTACATATATGCAAAACACCAATGCACATTAAATAAAAGTAAATTTAAAAAGAAAAGAAAAAAAAACATGCCAGGCAGTGGTGGCATACGCCTTTAATCCCAGCACCTCAGAGGTAGAGGCAGGTGGATCTCTGTGAGTTTGAGACCAGCCTGGTCTACAGAGCAAGTTCCAGGATAGGCTACATAAAGAAACCCTGTCTTGAAAACAAAATAAAACAAAACAGAGAAACCCGACTGATCTAGTTGGGATGACCTTGAACTGCTGGTCCTCCTGGCTTCAAACGCTGGGATTACAATAGTACATCACCATGAGGTGCTTTGAACTCTGGGCTCTGCACAGACTAAGCGAGCCTCTACCAACTGAGCCACAGCCCACCAGTTGTTTCTTAACATATACCTTCCATAGGACCCACCATTCTGCTTCTAGGATTACCCAGAGAAATGAAAAAATTCAGTATAAAAAAGAACCAACAGCCGGGCATTGATGGCGCACTCCTTTAATCCCAGCACTCCAGAGGCAGAGGCAGGAGGATCTCTGTGAGTTTGAGAGCAGCCTGGTCTACAAGAGCTAGTTCCAGGACAGCTTCCAAAGCCACAGAGAAACTCTGTCTCGAAAAATAAAACAAAACAAAACAAAAAAAAAGCATCAACAACAGCATGGCATGGTGGCATGAAACTTTAATCCCAGTTCTCAGGAGGTAGAGGCGGGTAAGTTGGAGGACAGCCAGGATAAAATGAGATCAGGCCTCAAAAACTTTTTTTAAATAAGTAAAATGAAACAACTACTAACATACATGTCCCTCGGTGTCTGTAGGGATTGGTTGCAGAACCCTGAAGATAAAGGCATCCAATAGCTCAAACCCTTTACAGAAAACGGCACGGCACTGTTTCGGTACAGAATGTACCCTTCATACAGCCTCTCACACTCACGTCTTGGCACTACCAAGTTGTGCCCATTATCTAGATTAAGCTGGCTTTGAACTTGCAACGGTCCTCCTGTCTCTGCCTTCTGAGTTCTGGGATTACAGGTTTGGCCCATCACACTCAAGCCTCTTCCCCCATGTCTTAAATCTCCTAGTTGTGTGGTGTGGTGTGGTGTGTGTGTGTGTCTGCATAAGATGTCCCCACAAGTCAGAAACGAGCATCAGGTCCTCTGGAGCTAAAGGTGGCTGTGAGACTCCATGTGGGTGCTGGGAAGAGAACTCCGTCCTGTGTTAGTGCAGCCATCCCTCTTCCATTGAGCCGTCTCTACCACTCTCACACACACTTTAAATCGTTCCCAAGTTACTTATATATTTAATACAACGTCGGTGTTATGTAAGTCATTCTACTCTAGTGCTCAGAGGCAGGAGCTATTTAAATTATCATTTAATGACAAGAAAAAATAGCCTCCACAGGCTCATACAGTTGCAAATTTTCTTTTCTCTGAATATTTTCAAGGTTGGCTGGCTCTGTAGCTATCAGGGCCAACAGTATATCAGATGGCACAGATGAATCTTACAATCATTATGCTGGAGAGGAAACTAGCTGAAAAAGAGTGCACAGGCAATGAACCTGCTTACATAAAATCCTAGAATTTGCAAACTGATCTAAAACATGACAAAAACGCAGTTCAGGATGCCAGGAGTGGCAGCACATACCTGTAACCTCAGCATTCAGGAGCATGAGGAGAGAGGGTCATGGAAAGTTCAAAGCCAGCCTGGGCTACACAGTGAGATCCTGTCTCAAAGAAACAAAACAATCAGGGCTCAGCAGCTACTGGCAAAGGAGCAGTCAAAGAGAAGTAGCTGCCCTGCCTGTAGGAAACACCCTCAGTCTGGACTGTGGCAAGTGTACCCAGGAGCAGCCATAGGGAAGAATTAATGTTTGTGCAGTTGAAATGTGAAGGGAGTGTTTGTTTTGTTTAAGACTTCATGCCGGGTGTTGGCAGCGCACACCTTTAGTTCCAGCACTCGGGAGGCAGAGGCAGGCGGATCTCTGTGAGTTCAAGGCCAGCCTGGTCTACAAGAGTGAGTTTCAGGACAGCCTCCAAAGCCACAGAGAAACTCTGCCTCAAAAATCAAAACAAAAGACTTCATACAATATGCAGCCTCCCTCACTGTCCTTCAACTCACCCTCCCATCCCCACCTACCCCCGTGACAGCTCACTCCACTCACGAACCTGCAAACCTGTGATGGAGACATGGTGTGACTCCACTGTGGGCCGCCGTGGCATCCGGGGGGAGGACTGTGGGGAGCTGGATGGCGAGTAGGACAGGGACGGGCAGATGCAACGTCCATTCATGTCCAAGCTGCTGCCAGATGCTGGCCCACCCTGGGATCGCTCCTGCAGGGACATCTTGCGACCAGAGAGTAGAGGACGTGCCTCAGACTGTGAGGCATCAAGGGGCAGTTCCTGGCCATCAGCCTCCAGAGGCTGGTCCTGGGCCAGGCTGAGGTCCACACCCTGGCCTGGTTCGCATTCGGTGACCACAATGAAGGATTCCATGCCCAAGTGGATGCTTAAGGATGAGAGTCCCCGCAGGGCCTCGCAGGGCTTCTGGCTTTCCCGGCTGCCACCCCCACTTCCCAGCTCATCCTGGGGGGCCACACGGTCGCTGGTGGGCTGGCTAGAGACACATGATGACATGGTGTGTGTACCAACTTCATCCGCCGAGCCGGAGCACTCCCATGGGCAGCACAGCTGCCTGAAGAAAGAAAAAAGGGGTCAGCAAGGCAGAGATAGGAAAGCAGCCACTCCTCTGGGCCAGGCTAGTGTCTGATTTGTGCACACGTTTTGCATCCCTAAAACTTGCAGCCCAACATGGTGGTAAAACAATTGGGAAGCTGAGACAGGAGTAACGCCAGGAATTAAAGACCAGCCTAGGCTACGTAGCATGCTCCAGACAGCCTGAGCTACAGAGCAAGACTCTGTCTCATAACAAACAAAAAAGAAATGTACAGCCAGTTGTGGTGGTGCATGTCTATAATCCCAGCCCTCAGAAGGTGGAAACAGGAGTTCAAGATCTGCCTGGACTTCACAACAAGAGCTATATTTAAAAAAAAAGAAAACATTGCAGAACAGGAGGTGATGTGATCTCCCAGTTTATGCAAGAAAAATGTATTCCTGATCCACCTGCTTCTGCCTCCTGAGTGCTGGGATTAAAGCTGTGCGCCACCAATGCCCCACTTTAAACTATTTTATGCATATGGCTGCTTTGTGTGTATATATGCATGCATCACATGTCTGATGGGTGCCCAGGACACCAAAAGAAGGCACTAGAGTCACAGGAACTGGAATTACTATATGAGTGCTGGGAATTGAACCCAGGTCCTTTTAACCAATGAGCTATCTCTCCAGCCCTCCAACTTTGTTTTTAGAAGCTGGGTTTCTCAACAGAAGCTGGGGTCTCTAATTAGGCCAGGCTGGCTGACGAGCAAGCCCTCAAAACCAACCTATCTCCATCTCCCCCCACCTGTGGGCTTGTGAGCAAGTAAGCGCTGCTGGGAGCACTGAGGGTCAAATTCAGATCGCTGACTGCAATAGCTCTAAAGTAGTAAAATTATCTGGTGCTACTGGAGAGACGGCTCAGTCATTAGGAGCACGCACTGCTCTTGCAGAGGATCCGAATTTTATTCCCCAGCACACACACACACACACACACACACACACACACACACACACACACCTTTAAGAATTAGCAATTATCTGGAATTAAATGCTAGATAGGCATGTATGTTCCCTGCTGCACTGTGCCATGACTGAGGCAGACTTCTCCCACGGACTACTAAGATGTCACAAGCAGCATCATGGATGTGTGCTATCAGACCTCTATTCTGTAAGTGCAGGGGCCCAGGCTAAAGACTGAGACTTTGTTTCTGAACAAACTTTGTTTCTGAACACACAGGCTGAGGAGATGGCTCAGTGTAAGAGGCCCTACAAACATGAGAACGGAGTCCAAATCCCCAGCACCACCTAGGAAACCAAGAGGGCTGCCTGTGGGTGGTTCCTCGAAAAGTCAGAGTACACCCAAACAGCACTGGTCATTGTAGCTGAGAGAAGGAAGTCAGAACATGGATAAGCAAAATGTGGCTCCTACGTACATACAGAAAACCACAAAGCCACAGAAGGGCCTGGGCCACTGACAATGGCCACAACACAGATAGATGAAATCTGAGAAAGCCATGCCAAGTGAAGGCCAGTCCCAAGAGGCCCATATGTGTTGCATAATTCCATGGAGATGAAATTTCCACACTAGGCAAGTCCACGGAGACAGACTACGGAGCACTCCGGGGGCAATGCAGGGACTGCTTGACAGGCACAGGGTTTCATCTTGGTGATGGCGTCTTGGAACTGGACAGAGGTGGTGGCTTCACAACCTCCATCATGTGCCAGATGCAAAGAACTTCTGATTTTAACGGGGTTAATCTGCCAGGCGTGGTGGTGAACACCTTTATTTCCAGCACTCCAGAGACAGAGCAGGAGGATCTCTGTGAGTTACAGGTCACTCTGGTCTACATAAAGAGTCCCAGGCCAGCCAGAGGTACAAAGTGAGAACTGTCTCAGGTTTAAAAGGAAAGAAAAAAGGGGTTAATTACAGAGCTAGGGGTGCAGCTACCAGCTTGACAGTAAAGCTCCTAACTAGGGTTTGAGAAGCTTGGGTTCTACAGCACTGTGCCTCCCCTTCAAAAAAGAAAACACAATTTTATGTCACATGGACTTTTATATCAATTTGAGAGAGAGAGCAAGAGCAAGCAAGAGAGAGGGGAGAGAGAGAGAGAGCAAGAGAGAGAGAGCAAGAGCAAGCAAGAGAGAGGGGAGAGAGAGAGAGAGAGAGAGAGAGAGAGAGAGAGAGAGAGAGAGAGAGAGAGAGAGAGAGAGAGAGAGAGAGAGAGAGAGGACAGACTGACACACGCCTTCAGGCCGTCAATTCTCAACATTGCTGGGACAGAATATTAGCCTTTGGCTCACGAGTTTGACAAATTCTGGTGGACAAATGTTGTCACGGCACGGCTGGAGTTAAGTAAGTGCACGCACGGGTGTGATTGCAGCTGTGTGCTAGTCAAGGAGGCTCTCCAGGTGCAGGGAAACAGCGGGTGCTGGCAGACTTGAGTGGATAAAATGGCTCCTGGGCCACACTGGTAGAGGCGAGCCTTGAGAGGGCAGGGTAAAAGTGGCACGCAGTCAGGGCTAGAGGACCCAGCTGAGACACAGAAATCTTGCTCCGCCCCCTTGAAATTGTCCATTCAGAATTACTTGCAAAGCATCTACTATGTCAGGCAAGGTGGCTGGGAATCCTCCAACCGGAAAAGCCTGGGCATTCCCAGGCCTGACATGTGCCCACAGATGAACACCATTCATGACTTCAAAACAAGAAAAAAGAGTGGTGGGTTTTTTATTTTTATTTGTTCATTTACTGGTTTTTGTCTTGTTTGTTTTTGAGCTAAGGTTTCTTTGTGGGGCCATAGCTGTCTTGGAACTTGATCTTTTTTTCTTTTTTCTTTTTTTTGTTTTGGTTTTTCGAGACAGGGTTTCCCTGTGTAGCTTTGGAGGCTGTCCTGGAACTTGCTCTGTAGACCAGGCTGGCCTCGAACTCACAGAGATCCGCCTGCCTCTGCCTCCCAAGTGCTGGGACTAAAGGCGTGCGCCACCAACGCCCGGCTTGTTTATTCATTTTAAGAGAGAGAAAAAGAACATAAAGATGGGTGGATAAGGAGGTCCTGGGAAGAATTGAGGGGGGGAGAAAAAACATGATGAAAGCATATTGTTTGGAATTTATTTAGTGAAGAAAGGAAGCACAAGGATCTGGGGAGAAGGTTCTGGGGTTAGAGCATGACTGCTGCACAGCCCGAGGGCCTGAACCCCAATCTCACCAGGTACATTAAAAGCTGGGTATCACCTAAGGACACTTCCCAGCACTATGAGAGCAGACAGGAGACTTGCTGACTGGCAGGCTAGCTCTAGGGCCAGTGAATGATCTTGTCCCAAAGAAATAAGGTAGAGCAACAGACCAGGACACCCAGTATCCTCTTGTGGCCTGAGCGCACACCCTCATGGGCGCACATGTGTGCATATAACACACACACACACACACACACACACACACACACACACACACACACACACACGAACCACAACAAATTCAACCATGTGACAAGAAACTCAGCCTAGTTTACAGGAAGGGAAGGACATATTCAGACATTAAGCACGCAGTCAGGGCTAGAGGACCCAGCTGAGACACAGAAATCTGGCCCTCCTCAGACAACTGGCCATGGAATTCCTACATGGCCAGTAATTCCTCATGGGTATGCACTCAAAAAACTCAAAGGAGGGGTCCAGTCAGACCCATGTGTAACAATGGCCATAGCATCACTAGTCACAAGTGCTAAAAGGTGGAAATGACCCTGTGTCCATCAAAGGATGAGTGGACACAGAGAAAGCGGTAGGATCACGTAAGAGTTACAAACAAGAAGGGAAGTCTGACTTACAAGTGACTTCAAGAAGTCACCTTGAAGACAAGCTAAGTAAAATGAACCAACACTGATAACCAGTAAGAAGCACCCATGATGGCCAAATCCATATAGCAAAAAGCAGGCACAGGGTTGGAACTGCACACAAAGCCCTGGGCTCCTCCCCCAGCACAGCACAAACTGCATGGGGTGGTGCCTGCTGGTGATCTATCACCAGGGAGATGGGCAGCTAAGAGCAGAAGTTCAAGGTCAGCTTCAGCTGCTCGGTGAGTTTGAAGCTAGCCTGGACCCCATGAGAGTCTGCATGCCAAACAGGGAGGAGCCCAACACAGCAGACATGCTTAAACGCCATGGAGGTACAGGTAAAAACGGTGGCTACGGCTCATTTTCAGTGTGTGGTGTGTGTGTTACACAACATTTTTATGACGTATACGTGTGTCTGTGTCATGGGAGTGCAAGTGTCCTGGAGATCAGAAAGGACATGGCATTCCCCTGTACCAGGAATAACAGGCAGTTGTGAGCCGCCAGACTTGGGAGCTGGGAATTGAACTCAAGTCCCACGCAAGAGTACAGTGAGCTCTTGACTGCTGAGCCAGCTCTCCAGCCCCCAAAATGAATTTCCAGAAAGAAAGTAAGCAGCCATGATCACAGCAGGTTTGTACACAGTAGTGCCCCAAGGAAGACACCCTCAGCTGTGCCCCCGCCTGGACGTCCCTGCCGGAGGACGACTCTACCCAAGCCCCACATTCTCCTGCTGTCTTACACAGTCCTCTGTGATCCTCGCCTTCCAAAAAGAGGAAGGCAGGGCCTGGAGTTCATGGCTTGGGCCTATCCTTTTCCTAGCTTGCCTTAGCCTCTCTCTGCCTCAGTTTCCCCATTTTTAAGATGGACACCTTCCAGATAGTCATGGGGAGCAGATGAGCCAAGTACTCAGAAAACATGATGGAAGTTCTAAAGAGCTATTCTTTCACAGGGTGGTGCTGGCGCACACCTTTAATCCCAGCACTTGGGAGGCAGAGGCAGCCTGTGAGTCAGCCTGGTCTATGGAGCGAGTTCACAGCCAGAGCTACACAGAGAAACCCCATCTTGAAAAATGAAAAAAAAACACTATTCTTTCAATACAATACCTATTCTTTCAATACAATCCCTACAAACAGTGGGGCTGTGTCCTTAAGGTTCCAGAATGTTCTGGAGTGACTACTGTCCTAGTGAGTCCACCTGCTCTTGTGTGGATTCC